TCGCACACGTAATATACAGAAGCATAAAGTAGCCCGTATAAAAATAGCCGGCAAAATTTTCCGTTGATTCCTCCACTTTCCTTCTCTATAAAATCCGACAAAATGAAACGAATGGATTTGCTGATCCACAATATCGTTGCATTTGGCGAACGTTTCTCCGAAGTAAAGCCTCGATTATGAATTTGGTTATTGTACAAATGTTCAAAATAATAGATAATATTTAATAGTCTGATTGCACCGACAATCTTAATTAACAAACTTTATTTAACGATTATCATTCTGTTCCCGAATATAGAGGGAAATTTATCGAGTTGAATCAACACAATATCTGTGGTTAAATCACGTTTAATCGCGCAAACAGAACAAATATTATATATTATATTAACACTATTCCATCCACGCTGCCGTTCTAGTGGAAACAAGAAATATGGTAAGTCGATTTCAGCAAATAGACAATTCTGATCGAGTTGTAATCGCGCACGTGTCAACGATTGCAACGAACAATTTTCTGGAGAAACATCCTTTCAAAAAAATAGCGGTTGCGTCTTTAATTGACGCTTTATACGTCCAATTATAAGATACAAATGCGTAACTTTAATCATATGAGCTTCCTTATGTACCAGCGTAAGTAAAATCTTGCAAACGAGGTGCGCGAGGAAGAATAACGAACACGAAAGAGAAAAAAAGAGATTGTCAAAGGGAATCCTCTTAACGAGCCGCACTCGCCCAGCTGGTCACGATAACGAGACAATTCTATACCTTGCTGCATTTTGATGCAGGATTATGCACTATTACAGCGCTAGAATAACCGCAGGACTTCAGAAATCCTTTAAATTCAGAAGTCTTTTAAAATAGAAAAATATCACTAGGAGATAAGAGAAAAACACTAAGAACGTAAATAATTATTATTATATTTAATAGATTATTTTATTCTCACACACATGAAATTATAATTCTCTTTAATTCGTATTGTGAAATCTGAGATATGTATATTTATTCGCGATATCTTGTTGTAAAATTTCGTTTCATTCTCTTTGTGTGATTTTATCGATCTAGAAAATCCGTCAAAAAATCATATATTTTTAATCAATATTTATGTATACATTTGTATATCTTTTATATGAAAAAAGTATTCTATTTTATTTTATGACAGTAACTTGTTCACACTTTTTCGAACAAATAAATCTCGAGTTTGATTATTTGACTGACATCTAACAGTGCTTAAGCTTTAACACCGAAAATTGTTCGTTTTTATTTTCATCTCACCCTCATCCTTGATAAGTCACTGAGAAAATTTATGGAGCAATTCGTAAAAAGTGACGCGGTTCACTTTATTCGAAGAAAAAGTCACGTTCTATGAAATTTAGGAGAGATATTGCAAATAAAATAATAATAAAATAATAATAAACATTTTTAATTAAATACATGAAATTGATAGAATTATTTTATTGATATCTCATATTTTTGTATGTGCAAATCCCGAAACAATACACAAATTAATAAACATCAGAATTATATGTGATAAAATTTCAAACTTAACGAAAAGTTTTAATTCTCAATTCAATTCTCAATTTACGCATTTCTACAAAACAGCGTATATAAATAGATGCACATAATAAAATAATAATAAATATTTATAATTAAATGTGTGAAGATAAATAGAAGTATTATATGATATCCCATATTTTTGTGCAAATCCTGAAACGATAAACAGACTAACAAAAATAAGAATTTAATGCATATAATTACAAAACAAAATTACTAATAAATTTTATCCAACGTACCAATAAATTTAATGGAAGTTTTCGATTCTTAATTCAAAATGTTGAAACATTTCTTCAAAATAGCATATAAAAATTCAAACGGACTCAAATGAAATAATAATAAATATTTTTAATTAAATATTGAATTGATAAAATTATTATACCGATATCTCATATATATGCCAATCCTAAAACGATAAATAGATCAACAAAAACAAGAATTATAAAAGCGATATTTATATATCATTGCAAAATTCAAACGTGCTAGTAAACTTGGGGGAAGTTTTCGATTCTCAATTCAATATTTACGAAATAACATCCAAACAGACACAAATAATAATAAACATATTTAATTGTGTGAAATTGCTAAAACTATTATATTGGTATCCCATATTTTTGTATATCCAAATCCCGAAAATCCGAAATGATAAATAAATCAACGAGAAGTTATAAATGATATATATAATTGCAAAATTAGAAAGTCAGTAAACTTAGGGGAAATTTTCGTCTTTCAAATCAATATCTATGCATTTCTACGAAACGGCATATAAATGCAAGCAGACGCAAATAAAAAAGAAGTCGTAGACGAGAGTACTGTCCGAAGCCTTCGAAGTACTCTATTTAAGTGATGAAATTAAACGAGACGAGAAAAGTAAGGTAACGTAAAGATAGGCAATAGGGGCGACCGATGCGAAGAAGGAAGGGGATCGTGAGAAAGTGCACAAAGGAGACGAATTAGTCGGTATTGCTTGAGGCGCCTAATTAACGCGCTACGTTACTACGGCCGTTCCTCTTCATCATTACCTGAAAACTGCGCCGCACTCTTCCGGAGCCGGAATTCCTTTGATGTCAACGGGCGGATGAGGGAGAGGCAAGCGGCGCCGGCGGAAGAAAGCAGGGGAATAGGATACACCTGAGTCACGCGTGACTTTCTCAAAAGTACGCGTACAAAGTGTGGACGAAAACAAAGTGGCCGACATTGTCGAGGAAAATTGCCCTTGCAATGTTCAGTAGTCGCTTTCTTGTTGTTGATCATCGTACGCTCCTTCCGCTCGATTTTTCGAAGAGCTTGGGGAGAAACAAGAGGGAAAGAGGGAGGAAGCCGTTTATTCCTCGAGTCGTTCTCAATTGCTCGTCGAGAACGTTATCTGATGATGTTGGCATTCAAGTGCGACGAGAGTGCTCTCCGCAATGGTCGCGAAGGGTTCTTTTGTACGTGACGAAGGGTCGACCAAGAATCGCGTCCCAGTGCCAATTAATCATCAAACTGCAACGCTAATTACGCTCCATTAATGATCTTTATAAATTACCTATTGGGGAAAGACAAAGAGAATTTTGTAAATCATCGTTATATAATAATAATATTAGTATAATAATATTAGTATACGTATATGCATATATATATATATATCAATATTAATTATATTAAAATTATTGTTATATTAATATTAGTATTAAAAAAAATATATATATATATATATATATATAATTATTATAAATGTTATATAATTATTATTATATATTAATATGATTATTATCATAATAATTATTTTGAAAATTCAAACATATTTATCTTAAACGAGAAAAAGTTTGAGTTCTCATATGACAATTTTTTTTTTTTAGAAATCCATATGCGATGCAGCAATCTTTGAATTAAATATATAAATTATACAATATGCAATCAAATATACAATTATACAATATATAAATTATATAACATGAAGACTTCGACGAGCAAATTGAAAGAAATGTCGGGAATAAATGTTATTTCCGACTGGGTGAGATTCCAATGCGTTTTCCTTCTCTTCGGGTACATCGAGAAAGGTTTGGTTAACCGCCTTTAATCTAAAATGCTGGTCATCCGGGACTACCATGCGCTAGACGAGAGCGAGGATGTCGATGAAGCTTTTAAGGACCTTATTTCAAATTGATACGACTCATTCGGTCGCCTATTTACGAGGCAATGCGCTAGCTCTACGTATCGTCGGTCCTTACACAAGTGGTAAATTACCACTTTGGTGACCTAGCAATAATTAACGCCTTGCGGTAACACGTGTCCTTCAGCGACAAACAGAACGTAAAGCACAGGAATCAAGTTTCCCAGGGAAACATAATTGTTCTCTCTTTAGGAATACATCGAGATCTCTGAATATTTTTAAAATCAATTTTAATAATTAAAAAATTCATCATTAATAAATGTATGTGCATACAAGGTTCCATAATTTTCCAAGCGCCCTTCGAGATCATTGTACTGACATCTGTGACATTGCAGTTCAAGCTGATACAGTGGGCTACGTTATCTCCGAGAAGCGCAAAACACGTTATGCAAATTCGCTGTTTTAAATAGTAATTGCATATTTATAAATAAATTAAGAAAACATGCTGATTCACCTTGAACAAATTTATAATACGCTGCGCGATAATATTCTCTTCATCGATAATGCGATACATAATTCGATCTTTTCCTTGCCATTAAAAACACTTGCATATTAAATATTCGTCGAGAGAGACAATCATAATTTTAATCATTGTGAAATATTTAATTTAGAAAAAAATATTGGAAAGACATTTTTAAAATAACAATATATATTTCATATATCGTATATAATATTATATAAAATGAGTATTGTATACAAGTCACCTCAGAACTATTATCGATTTTTGAACTTGTAAATCCCTTAATCATTTTAAAATTAAACTTGTCTTTTCTACAAAGATTGATTAGACTTCATTCATTAAATCATAATTTTTTACATTAAACTTGTGCTGTAAGAATAGATTTTAAAGATTTGTTAAAGCAATATCTTGAGAATACTGATAATTCTGAGACACTCCATATATACATGATTGAAAATATTCATGATCAACATGGCATACATAAAAGATTTTCAAACTATTTATAATATATATATAATAACATTTTATATATATATATATATATATATATATATATATTATAAATTTTCGAATTATATACGTATATATTTACAATTGCTTAGACACTTTATATCGATACGACATATATACAACCCATAAGACCTTATGTACATAGCGATATAACAATTATTAGAGAATTAAAAATATTCACTAATCCATAAAATATATTAAGTACATAACAAGAGAAATGTCTGAAAATTGAATGCGCTCTATATATATATACATATTTGAGATTCTTATCATTATATAATTATATAAAAGATAAATATCTAATAAAAACATGATACATATGAACATGTAAGCGATATACAAAATAGTACAAGAATCTATAATCAATTAATATATGTATAACATTAATATTAGCATATAGATTCTATATGTAGTCACTGGACAAATTGAATTTTGTAACTCTTTCTTCTTCCTTCGACAATCACATAATATATATGTACCATATGTTTATTAATAATTGTATACAAATTTAGAGATTGTCAATTATTGACAGCGCATGATCTGCTGAGATAAACATGAATACTTTGCTATGCTATCCTTCGCTGGATCCGCTTGCCAACTTCTCAGGTAAACACTTAGTAATCGTCGGTTCGATTAGTTTCCACACTTCAGCCAACTATAAACAAACATTTGCATCAGCAATTTCCTTCCGTTTGTGATTCTAGAGATTTATATATGCAAGTCTCTTAATAATAAACATAATATTTTCTTAGAATATATATTTGTTATGGGATATATAATATCGCAATAAACATAATGTAGCTGATATCGAAGAAAGAAAATACATGATGCGGATCCAAAATTGATACAATTTTAAAAAGAACATGTACTATCCAACGACTTACCAAAATCCCTGTGTTTGTTTGCAAAATGAACAAATTCATTAATCAACAAATTATATAACTGAAAACCGTGAGCTGACGATGACTTACCTCGGAATGTCCGCGGATTTGTACGCTCACGAGACTCTGCAGCACGGTGGCGAGTATTTCCAGGTGTGCATGAACGAGCTGAGTCTCCATGTGCAGACACAGCAGCGAGAAGCAATTTCTCAGCTCGACGTTGGCGATAACCGATTCCTGGGAGACCATCTTGTTCTCAAGGTACTCGACAGTGTCAGCCTGAGTATACACAATCACAATACGTATACAAAATCATGCAATCTTCTTCTTCTTGTATTCGCACCGCGCGTTCGCAAACTGACAGATTATGTAACCCCCAGGAAGTTCAATTTACTCTTTACAATAACGAGTCTTTCTCTCTCTCTCTCTCCCCGCGTCTTGATTATACTACTGCTATTTCAATTGATGACGAGTAATTATACAACTGCGACAATGTGATTGCTGGTTAAATTACGCGTTTTGTTTGGATGAGCGCGAGGAGTCATGGCTAATGGTTTGCCGGCTAATGAATCTCAAATAATTTAATATACGTACGTCGGTTCCGCGAATAACACCTTGCATCTGCCGCTTCTTGAGAGATAACATAGTGGACAGGGCACGTTGATGATCGGCGTTGACACCTCGCTCGTGTCTCTCGCACAACATTCTGTGTGCGACTAAAATATCAAGAAGAAGATTCAATCTTTCGCAGACCATGGTCTCCTCTCTGACCGCCTGTTGCAGAGCTCTGCTCGATAGCAGGTTGAACTCTCTAAAATATTTTGAATTTTGTTTTATCCTGTATCTTATTTAAACGCAATCAAGAGTTTTATTAATCAAACGAGATTAAATTAAATAATTTTTTTAATTAGATATTGTCCTTTTATGAAATGTATCAAAACTACCAAATAATCTATTGAAATCTATTTATCACAAAACTTTACATTATTTAATTTTGTCCATTTGACTTTTATTTATATATATATATATATATATATATATATATATATATATATATATAAAGTGAATCTGATAAAAAATTCACTACATTGTTCTCGAAAATGATTAGAAATCTAAAAAAAGACACCCATTATTAAAATTGTAGAACAAATGAGAAATATACTATGATGATCTTAAATAATCTTGAATATCCTTGGTTTATACCTGTGTAAGAATGAAAGTTTGGAAAGATTTTTTTTATTACAATAAATATTTATTATAAATCATTAACATAAGTTTCAAAAATTTCTTCATTAAAATGTAACACTTTTTTTTTAATTGGATCATTAAATATTGAAACCAAAATACAAAAGAAATCTTTGTTTGCAGCTTGATTTGTCAATTGTATAATTACAATTCAAATGTTGAATATTTCGCAAACATAGAACTTATTTTTCAAATAACAAATTATAAAGCGAGAGTTCAATGTTTCCAAACAAATGGACTAGTAGAGGTAACTAGTAGCCCTGCATTATCCCTGCAAAATCATCAACTAGTTGCAAACTTTCATTCTGACTTATAATTTTGTATCTCAAAATATCTCGATAATGGTTTATTTTCTGAAAAGATGTTCTGATGCAAAACTCGTTAAATGTTACTGAAATAATTTAAATAATTTAAAAGTATCCCAAGGAAATTTTCTTTAGTATTTTTAATATTTATGAAAAAGACTCAAGGTTACTTAAAATCACTATAGTAGGTATATCCTTCTATTTGTCTTATAATGGGCGCTTTTCCTTATCTCTAATCGTTTAAAAAAATGTGGTGAACTTTTATCAAATTCACCTTGCACATAAATGTTATTTATTTTTAGAACTAATTTAAAAAAATACAGGCAAGTGTGATTTTATTTTAGACCCTTTAAAATACAAAAATAAGAAAATGACTATTATGATAACGTGAGCTCACAAATACGATTCACGTTATTCTTAATTCTTACTTTGAGATTACATGAAAGCCCTTCTTCATGTCTTGCCAGAGACTGGAACCGCCAGTGACCCAAGTACCGGTGCCATGCTGTTCCGCCGCCAAAGTGCTCAGCTGATTGCCGAGCTCGGCCATATCCACGGCGTAATTGTGCGATCTGATTGCCAGATTGTCGGCGATATGCTTGAGTCGCGAGACCCCGAAAAGTATCACGCGTATCTGATCGCGACTGTTCGCGAACTCGGTTAGCGTCTCGGGCGGCATCAACTCCTTCGCTCTGGACGATAGTTCCGATGTCGCGAACTCATCTGGGACGCGTTTAAATACCTCGCGGATCTTATACTGCGTTTCGTCGCCGGTGAACGTGAAGAAGAACTGTACGATCGGGTCCCCGCTCACCACCGGATGGCGAGCGATTAGTGTAAGAAACCGCAATAAGGAACGCCGCCTTTCCTCGAGAAATTGTGAGTCCGCTACATACATATATAAAGGAAGTGAAATGAAAAACGAGTTCCTCGAAAATATCTTACGTTCAATATATTAATTATAAAATTATAATATAATGATGATATAATGTATATGCATTTTTTTCCGTATTGTTCAAACGAATAGGCATATGTATATGTGTTGTATTCACCTCCCACGATCTTCTTCGGTGGTAATTTGGGTATCAATCTATAAGGAAACCGGGCCAAAAGGAGATCGTACAGTGACACGAAGTCATTATAACGTCTGTAGACCACAGAATTGAATCTCTAAAAAACACAAACAAAATACTCCATATTACTAATTTATATTCTTCGTTGCGATATAGTCTTCTTATATTACTAAAAATTATCTGAATAATTTTATTATAACGTTAATTTTCCTTTATATGCTCTCCTATTTATATAAACATACATGCGCGCGGACTTTATAGTACCTTACTAGTGACTTGATATTCCACGTGCTTCAGGAAAATACCCTTTTTCTCGGGAACAAGGTTGACCTCGATAATGTCGAGATTGCAGATGTCCGAGTATGTGTGACTCAGCTTGGTTGGATTGCCTCTGTGCAGCCTCTGCGCCAATAACGTCACTTCCGACAGATCACCCAGGACAGGCACGGGTAATTCTGCGAATAAGAAAATCTTCTCAAGCGAAGGACGCATTGTTTGACAGTCATATTCAGTGAAGAGATGACAATTGCATAATTATGAAGTAGCAATTGCATAATTATGAATAAAATTCGAGATATATTAAGTTTAACGAATTAAACTCTTGAGGGGGTGACTAAATATCCCGGATTTCAAGGCAATATTCTCTTGTCTAATCTCGGCTTGCGTGTATCTCTTCGTTTTTGAGATTTTTTTATGTTCATAAATTTATAAATTTGTCCATTCATTTATTAAAAATTCGCTTTATATTCATAACTTTAACATATATTTTTATATTTTTACTTAAATTGAACATATATTTTATACTTAAATACTTTTATATAAATAATCATTTTATGGCACTTTAAATAAAATTTATTAAAAATTGAAAAATATTAAAAAACAAATATATATATTTTTCAACAGTATTTATTTATCTTTGCTTTGTGAAGGAATATTTTTCGTTTTATTGTATAATTTTGTCTTTTTTTTAAATATTATAAAAATGTCCTTAAATATTATAAAAAAGTTTTCGTTCACTTTGTCATCTCACCAAAAAATGCGATTACTATAACTGAAGTAACGAATTCGACGAATATAAAAGAAATATATAAAAATAGGAATATAAAAATTATATGTAAAATATACAAAAAATATAAAAAAATTTTAAAAACAAACAGGATTAGTTTATATTATTTTCTTTTCTTTCCGTGTCCTTTCAATGTCTGTTCTACTTTGACGGGGAACAAGATCTCACGGCATTATTATTCCTTTACCGTGGCAAATAATCATCGTCGCCGCAACCTCGATAACGAAAGAGTCTCCTGACCTCGCGATACCTTACTACAGCGACGCTTATTGCGTTCCCACAGTCTCTCTTACTATTCACTATCATAAAATCATTTTTCTTCCATACATTTATAATTTGACATTGTATAATAAGAACGAACAAAAGTGTTTCAAAACAAGAAGGAAGTTTTCATCATCAAACTTTTATTTTCGTATCAAGCTATTGAACTATATTAAAATTTTTTTCTGTCTCGTATATATAAAAAAATATGAATCTTCAGAATCTCATAGAAACATAATCATTAATAATAATAAACATTTATATAAAATTTATATAAAATAATTATATAAAATTATTTATATAAAATTATTCCTTTTTTCAAACAGATTAGCAGACGCGCGTATAAGTAAGAATATAATTTTATTAACACACGCGTAAGAAATAATAAAATAATAATAAATTAATCATTAATAATTAATTCAAATGATTCAAATATACAGATCATAATGAATAGTCGTATTTCATTTCTTTTTATTAACACATTAAAGTAAAAACTTCTACACAATACACTTGACAGTACATGCAGTAGCGACCGAGACAATATTCTGACAGGAAGTTGCAGTTGTATTTTCTTGAACTAACAATAGAATACGAAGATATGCAACTTTCTAGCGATAAGCAAAACAGCAATGATTTTACTGGTCAATGACTCCTGGTAATACCTACAGGTTTCTTGATATGTCAGCGAGCCACATTCACGTGCATTATCTAAGTACCTGTCCGATAATAGATTTATTCAAGACCTACTTTCTCAGTGCAGTTTATATTAAGGCACGGAAGATCATACATATTTCGTGGCATATTTTACTTGCGGGGTAAATTACGTATTTATAGTTATAAAAAATAAAAAATTAAAGTTATAAAAAATAATTGTTGTATAAAAGTTCTGAATTAAATTCAATACAAGCGCGTAATTTTTCTCGTTCAGCGAAATGTTGATTATTTCTGATTAAATAATCAATTCTAATCATTGTTATTGATATTCTTATCTTATCCATTATAGTCGTAAAAGTTTTTTATCGATTAGAAGGATATACGCAATATTAAGAATATAAAATAATCAGTTTAATCTGTTTGAAAAATATGTTATTTAAATACTTCTGGAAAATTTTTCTTGATACGTTCTTAAAAAGTCTTTCCCTTCTTTGCTAAAAATTATATTTTTATCTTTTTCTTATATTTAAATATCATTTCACTGGCAAATTTTTCTCAAAATTAATTTATAAAACTTTTTTTTAAATTATTGACAAAAATAATTATAATTGAAATGAATATTTATAAAGTTAAAAATTCTGATTTTTTTAAGTAGTTTAAATTTTATCAAGGTTAGTATCTTGTGTTGTAAATTAAAAGATTAGTAATTTAGAGGTTGATTCGGCTAACCTTGAGATTCGGAATTTTCCAACAGCTTATCGCTAGGTTGCTTTCCTTGTTGAGCGAAGGCGACAAGAGCAAGTCCCTTGTAGAGTCCACTTCTCGTAAGATAACCCGTCTTACTGTCTACTTGTTTCCATATCTGAAGAGGAACAGAGAAACCGTTTTAAACGTACCGTTTCGATTGTATTTCTATTTTAGAGAAATATTTCAATATTAGTATTATATAACTCTATAATTCGACATTTACAAAATATTTATAAAATATTTATTAAATATTTATAAAATAATTTCAATTCTAAATAAAATTCTAACTAAAATAATCGTCAAAAGTACAGGCGACTGTTTTCTTCTCGAAAAATATCGCAAATGATAAAAAAAAAAGTTTATGACACCGAGAAAGCGCCAATCATACATGTCACATACGAATAACGGCACAATAGTAAACTCTGTGTGAACGAAGCTTAAAGATTAGGCCATAAATGAAAGTAACTGCATTCCGTGGATTTTTCTACGTGCCGCACCATTCCACCTCTGCTTCCATTTTCACTCGCGTCTCTCTCCTCCCCCTATCCCCTCTTTTCTTATTTTACGCGCGACACTTTGGCTCGCTTCCTTACCCCTTCCCCTCATCTTCATCTGAATTCGAAGTAACCGCGAGGTGCATGATGAGTGCATGCGAACTTAGATCGAGGACAAGAATATACAAAGATGTAAATATCAACAAACAGGAAAGGCCTTCATTCCTTAATTTAATTGCTATAATTTAGGGATAAATACAGATATGTACGTACATACAATAAAGAAATTGAATGGTGTACTTTTAAAATTGTAGAGATTTGTTATTAAAATTAAATTTAATATATAACTTTACTAAAAATAAATTTAATAAATTTATACAAATAATACTTAAATAACTTTATATTGATCATGAGTTTTGAGAAGGGAGAGAGAAAGAGAAAAAGAAAGAGAGAGAGTGTGTGTGTGTGTGAGAGAGAGAGAGAGAGAGAGAGAGAGAGAGAGAGAGAGAGAGAGAGAGAGAATGGAAGATACATTTACACTAAAAGTATTTCACTGATGCTTTGTGCAAGAAAAATGATCTGAATAGAGAAAATACGGTCGAAAAGAGCAGGCATCCATCTACGCCACTGTGGGCACCCTTGCTCTCTCATTGCTCCCTCTCGAGTGTGTCGTTAAACCTTAATCGTCGATCAAGTTCAAGCCGGGAGTAAAGCCCGACAATAATAGATTCTCCATTTTAGCTACGTGTGCAAACAAACAGCAAAAATCTACTTGGGTAGAGATGTAAATAGAAAAAAACAAAATGTTTTTCTGTTTCACAAAATATGATTTTTCTTTGTGGAAAAAAAACTTTTTTTTTCAAAATTTTATTTTATTTTATTTTTTTTCAGATGTTTGATATATTTTTATATTTTGATTATTAAAAGTTGATTTTTCATTATTTTTATTTTTTATTATTATTTATTATTTTCATATATTTATTTATTATATATGATTTTTTTATAATTAATTAAATAATTTTAATATTAAAATGTACTTTTGTTGGCAGCAATCGAGAGTTTTTTTTTATTTATTATTAATTTAAATGATAGATTCGAACTACTATTATTTTATAAGAATGTAGATTGCATTCAAATTGACTATATTATGTAATTTTTTTTATTATTTTAAATTAAATACATTTAAAAAAAAATAAAGAAATTGAACTTGAAAGAATTCTTTTTTAGATACAAACTTATAGTTCATATATAATTTTTAAAAATATATACTTTATATATCATTACTTTAATATAGTAAAAAAATTAAAGTTCCTATGTTTTGAATTTATTTGTTTTTCGAGAGTAATTTTAATAAATTAATGAGAGTTTTGGGATTAAAATGATATCAAATATGATATAATTTGGATAATTTTTAATTAGATGTATAGTAAAGTTTTGCTATGCGTTTAGCTGAAAATTAACCAAATGTCATGATGGATAATTTACAAAACTCACATTAGTTTGTATAAAATCATTTTCGAAACAAGATAAATTAAAAATATAAAAACTTTAGTTTCTTTATTAACAAAAAAATATGAGAAGAACAATATTATAATATTAATTAATATTATATTTAAAAAATAATAAAATTTGTTTTCAACAAAAAAAAAGAAACATATTTTTCTTTCAACGTTTGTTTTTTACTAAAAAAAAAAAACAACGGTTTTTTTACATTTATATGCTCGATAAATTCAAGTATGTTTTTTATTAGAAAGAACGTGATACAAGTTGAATGAATGAAAAGAAAAAAAATGAGGACGAAATCGATAGAGATATATCGATTAGAAGAAAATATCAATGTGCATATATTGTTGAAAAGGAGAATGTAAAAGGAAGAGAAGAATGTGGGTGCTTAAAAAGAATATATATATAATTTAATATAATAAAAAAGTTAAAGTTCTTATATTTTTAATTTGTTTTTCGAGAGTAATTTTAATAAATTAATGAGATGTACTTGTACATCACATCACAAAACATCTCTCTCTCTCTCTCTCTCTCTCTCTCTATATATATATATATATATATATATATATATATATATATAGATGTTTTGTGATGTGATATACAAGTACACGGGAATGTATACAAAACAAGTTGCAAAACACCATGTAAAGAAATTTATGATGGAAGAGAGATGAGAGAGCGATATTACGCTGAGAAACTGTTATCTGACGCACGACAAGGTATATATTCGTTATGTCTTATATGTTGTGTACCCACAAAATTTTATCGTTATCATTATTATACATATAATAAGATAAAAAAATAAAGAATGACCTGTGTCTGTTATCGCATAAATTTTTTTACGCAAGCGACAGATATTATATGCATAACTTGTTATAAAGCCACATTCCTCGATTATTCAGTTATAGAATTTTAACAAAAGATTATTGAATATCAACAAGAACTAATATTTTTTCAAATTCGAGAAAAAAAGGATTGTTCCGTGTCCAATCTTTCTTCTTCTTTTCTGTTTGGAAAATGTAAAAGATGATCATAATTTCGATTTTCAAAAATAAAAAAATATTTTTTATGTTTGCAAAGATATAAAAAAAACACACAGAGTGCTTTCGCGCGAAAACGAGGGAGTATATTAACATTCGTGTCAATAAAACTGGATACGATCTCTCTCTCTCTCTCTCTCTCTCTCTCTCTCTCTCTCTCTCTCTCTCTCTCTCTCTCTCGTGCACGCGCGCGAAACGAATATAATATTCATATAAGGACGTATGTGAAATACACAAGCCCCGTAACGAGAGCCATGTGTGTTTCGCCATCACGCAACATTTCAACGCGAGATAATTATGCGCAGGCACTGAACCAGCCAACAACTCATCCTCATCTCTCATTTGCGTACCTGAAGTATATAATCTGAGAAGACGATGCTCAAACATCCCGCTACGGATATACACCTACATACGATAGCAACATACATGTGTTTGAAATGACATTTAAATTTCCATTTTCACAAAACTAATCGAGATATCAAAGGAAAGAATTTACTGTACCCGATATCAATTAATACATCACAGTAGCACGTATATTTATTTGCGAATTGGAAATTATTTGATAATAATTAAAAATTGAGAAAGAATAATAAATTGTGAAGATTAAAAAAAAGATTTTATTTAATAGAAATTTAGAATAGAAAGTAGAATTTATTTAAAAATTTAGAATAGAAAGAATTTAGAATAGAATATAAATTAAAAAATTTAGAATAGAAATTTAGAATAGAATAGAAATTTAAGAAATTTAAAAATTTAGAATAGAATAGAAATTAAAAAATTTAGAATAGAATAGAAATTTAGAATAGAAAGTAGAATTTATTAAAAATAATTTTACAATATGAATTAAAAAACAAAACGAAAAAATTGTTGACCAATTTATTTATTTATCGTTGTTTCGTAAGAGAATATTTTTTGTTTTCATTTCATTGTATATGTATGGTAAATCGTATGTAAAGTAAATTGTGAAAAATAAAAAAAAAATGCGTCTTGATGGCAACGCAAAAAGAAAATTTTTGTCCTTTGGCGCTTTTCCTTCTAACGGGGAATATTTTTAGATATAAAAGTATCATATATATATATTGCGTGCCAATGCGGAAGACGGTAATCAAACGATTTCACCTAACAGGAAGACGACCCGTATGTCGTACGTTAAAACATACCGGCTGCTATTACGTTGAACTTGTTTCCAACGTTGGGAATGGATATTAGGGATGCCCGCGGAAGTATCAGCGGTTAATCCATTCTATTTAATTGAGGCAACATAAAATTATATGAGCGCGGAGTAAATCATGTTTGCGAAAGTCTAGAGAAAACGAGAGATACCGTTTTATTCTTTTTCTCATTCTCCCTGTGTAAAAAATGAGAAAAGACCATGGAAACTTTTCATACATTCTTCATTATTCTAGGATAGATTTAATAGCGTTATACTTACGATAAATTAATTAATATTTTAAAAAATCACGCTTATTATATCGTATATTGTAGCAAAAAAAATACAATGAAAAATAACATCAATTATACTCCTTTTCCAGATATGATTTATGTTTCATATACATATCATATAAAATAGAGAATAATTTTCTTCGTATAAAATAAAATGTAATTTCTTTCAAAATATCGTGAGAATATAAATCGTCAATACGTAATCATAAGTGTTCGATTGCTTATAATATCTCTACTATTAATTTATAAAAGTAATCGTGCGTGATGGATCATCAACCGTAAACGTGACAATCCAAAAAAAAGGAGTGCAATCTAATATAAACACTTCACAATATGCGTATAATAATCGACACATGAGATAATCTACGATTAAAGTAATTTGTGAGTGTGTATGTATGTGTGTGTGTGTGTGTGTGCTCTGTTTGTATTTATTTATGCAATACATAATAATGTTATTCTAAAATGCGCTACTGATAATTACTCGCGATAGAGATTATAACGATAATATCTCATTATGTATAATAATCCATAATTCATCATTGTATATTATAATTTATATCTACATACGTAATCATCTTACATTATAATCTATAAAGTAATAGAAAAATTTAAAAATATTTTATATAACAATATTCTGCACAATTAGGACATTATTATTATTTTTATTATTTTTATTTTTTTATTATTATTATTATTATTATTATTATCGATATTAGTAATATTTAATTACATTTAATTATTATTAAATAAATTTCATTTTATTTAGAAATTAATTTTAATTAATATTAATATTATTATTAATAAATATTCTGTATAAATAATCTGTATGTTAAAAATTTAATGTGACCTGTATAGTAATAATGAATTTCGCATTAACTACAATATTATTTATTAATAAAAAATGAAAACTTTATCTTTTTAGAAAAAAATATATTTGCCTTTTTCATATTATTTTTATAGTTTCATACCGGGATAATATGTCGACATTATTGCCTTAAAAATTGCTTACTGATTTTAATTTCAATGACAAATTACTACCTTAAAAATTCACGTTGTAAATTTTAAAATATTTTATATGCAGCAAATTATTATGCTATTCACGAGACGAAATACACCTCGGCGCGGCCCTGCGTAATACTATTTTGATTGTGTTGTTAGTACAATGAACGAGAGACAGACACGAACGTCGCGATACAACGTGACAAATTTAACTGTTACGGAGTTGATATTGATTTTTATGTGAAATCTCTGCAAAACAAGTTTTTAATTTGCGTTACTTTCTCGGAGCTACCGTGGATGCGTATTCAAATTTACGTAAATTCATATATTTTCGAAAAATGTCTGCATCTTATAAAACTTTAATGCTATGAAATGTTACATGGCCTATCCATATGCAAAATATTTAAAAAAAATTAAGATGTATTGTTAAGTAATGTAAGATGTATTGTTAAGTAATGTAAGATGTATTGTTTTTTATAAATTTTTTTTTCATATATTAATATAAAAAATTTAAATCAAAACTTAAATATTTTTGCCAAAATTATTTAACTGACAATTCAAAGATTAATTTTTTCGATAGATAAAAGGCGCCTAAGGTTGAATATGCTAGAACATGTTTATAATGTTGTCGCGAGCAACAGATTGTTCGCGTCGATACGGTTGACCCTGCCACGTAATCTTGCATCATTATGAAGGGGCGTCCATCGTTATCGTCGACAGGCATGTTGTCGAAGATGATAAAATTTTGTTCCTGATACGGTGTCTGCGAAATGTGTTAATTATTTTTTCTTTTTTTAAAAAGTTAAATAGTGCCATATTGCTTGCATAATGCGACACTATGTAATTGATATTGATAGCGTTTCTCGTGGAATTAAACCGTGAATGAATAGACTGGTTCGATAAAAAGCGAGATATACATCTCGATTGCAAATATTAACACTACATAATGATGCAGATTAGTACAACAGACTGGCATTATCCAGATTATAATTTGAATATTAGAAAATAAAAGCTACTTAAGAGAGGAATAAGTTTTTTAATCGCGTATTTTTCCCGCAAATAAAAAATTGAATAGAATTATTAAAGTTTTCTAAATATTTGATCTGAGAAAATGCTTAAAGGCGAATTTTAATACTTTTAATAATTCTGTACCAAGCATATCATTTCATGAAGATAAATTGAAATGTTATCGCAACTGTTAGTAACGATATAATATTGCATGAGACATGATGAATAATTATTACCCGGAAAATATAAACTCCAGAGATAGAAATAAAAAGTAAAAATATAAACAAAATGAGAGAGAGAGATTTCTTTTTTATAAAATATATTCTTGTGAAAAAAATAAGCTTTGTCTTTTGCAATTTTTTTTCAAATTTTTAACATTTTTATATTTTGATTATCAGAAATTGATTTTTTATTTTTATTTTATTTTTTTTTAAATTTCTTAGATGATAGATTTGAACATTATTTTAAATACAGATCGCATTCCAACTGACTAGATACTTATATAATTATCTTTATATTTATATTATATTTATATTATATTTATTTATATTATATTTTTATTATATAATTATCTATATATTTTTAATTAGATACATTTATATAATTACTATTTTTAATTAGATACTTATGTAATTACTATTAATTAGATAAATTCTCCAAAGACAAATAAAAATTGAACTTGAAAATTGAAAATGTCTTTATGATAGATACAAAAACGCAATATAATTTTATAAGTGTACTTTAGTTACTATGGATTAAAATTATATCAAATACGATATAATTCGGATACTTTTTAATTAGATGCATAATATAAATTTTTGTTATCTAACCAAAATGTTTTCTAATCAAAAATTACCCAAATTTTATCGTCTTTGATGTAATTTGAATAAAAGTCTCATTAATTGGTTAAAAGTATTTTTAAAAAAAGATAAATTAAAAATCTAAGAACTTAAGTGTTTCTCGTTTATTACATTTAAAAAAAGAAAAATAATATTATAGTAAAAAAAAAATATTAGAGTTTAGTGAAGTAATCAAATTATTACAGAGTTTAGTGAAGTAATCAAATTATTACAGTTATTTTTTGTTTTGTATTAAAAAAAGAACAACTGTTTTTTTTACATCTTAATCAATTCACTTGAAATTTCCAATACTGCATTCCAAGACGCAATCCTAAGTCCGATAATATATGCGCGAATTTATATTTAAACACGAAGTACCAGTAATGCATTCAGAGACATAAACTGACTCATTATTATCTTCGTAAATGACATGCACGATTATTGAATTTTTTCTTGGAAAAGTAAAGGTCGCGTTTAATGACTGAAATGCATTTACGTATATTGCATGGCATCGGTAACATGAGAAACGCTTTATTATAGATCCAACAAATTATCCTGTCAACCTCAATAGTTCCACGTATTCCTAAACTGGTGCGATTCCTAAACGGATTCCTAAACTACTCTGCGATCTAAATGACAAAAAACCAGGTAAAAAGACTGTTAAATACATTCACAAAATTATGCGAAAAATTAAAGATCATTGAAGAAAATTTCTTCAAGTTGTCCTTTTCGACTTATCCTTGAATAAGCGATAATCGTTAACGTGAAATTTCTTGCTCTGAGGTTGAAAGTAACTGCCTCTTAATGCATATAAAATTATAATAGATAAATGTAACTGCCTCTTAATGCATATAAAATTATAATAGATAAATGTTAATTGATGGTTTTTAATGTTTTTTTAAAATGTATGATAAGTTTTCGTTGCATTAAATCGTGCCTCGTCATTAATACTAAATAATAAATTGTAAAAATGCAAGTGATTTAGAAATGTTGAATAATCATGAAAAATGACGTCTTAAAGAATAAAAGCGAACTATAATTCTTTACTTGTAGTCATATATTTTAAGATTAATATATTAATATTTTAATAATTGTAATAAACGATGCTCACTTCAATAATTAGCTAAGATTATTCATTCATATTGTTGATTATTCATTCGCATTTTACGCAAAATATACGTGTCTTTAATGCACTATAAAATAAAAATAGAAAAAATAGTTCGTTAATTATAGCTATTATTCTCTTCGAATGAAGGAAAACGTAGAGAATAATGTAAAAGAAAAAGATGCAAGAAAAAAAATTTTTATTATGGTATTTCTTGGTATATCATGCGACACTTTGTTTCTAGTCGCGATAAATTAAAAAGAACACAAGTAGATTTCTCTTGGGAAAGGTCACGTACGGTACGCTAGAAACTGAAACCTTTTGATACGCTTACCGCATATTTAAGCTTGCTATCAGAGTTACTCTCAGTGCGATGAACTTCTTTATAATTATTTATATGAACGAAATGTTTTTTTATGCGTTCACACATTTTTATTTACTTCTGGACAGATTTACAATAAAAAATTGAAATAATTAACATTTTCTCTCGATCAATAGCAGAATTAAAAAAAACTGAGCTTTATATACATAAATATTTATTTTTTGAATAGAAATTATTTTCGATATGTGACTGATGATAAATTGTAAGATCGAATTTTTTTAATTATAAAAATTTTCTATGGAATAAATATTATATATTATATGAAATAAATGGAGATATATAAATATATTATATTTATATATATATTTATATATATTTATATATAATATATTATGGAATAAATATATTTGCATAATAAATATAATATAACTGAATAAAGATTAATCTCATTTTCTTTATAATAGATTGATATAAGATTGAGATTATAGTTGTAGAAAAACCAGGGTTGGCAAAATTCCATATTAATGAATAAAATCTATACCATAAAAATCGGTATTTTCTAGAAATAAACTAGTCTTTTTTATTAAAAATGTTAAAATAAAATCTTTTTATCCATATTTATTAATTGAAAATATTTCCTAAATTTAAGTTTTATTAAAAAAAAAATTGATAATAGATAAAGAATCGATGTAGCAAATAAATTAATCTTTTGTTAGATGTTGAAAAGCAAACGCAAGCAAGATGAAATCCGAGTAAAAACCGGAATCTATCAGTTTTTTCTACTCACTGAACTTTTGCGGCCAATCCCAGCAACCAAAAGAATAAAAAAATTAACAAGCTGTATATATCCATTATATATATATATATATATATATATATATATATATATATATATATATATATATATATATTAAATTGTAAATATAATAATATATAATATATAAATTCATTAAGAGAAAAAGAAGAGAAGGTTTAAAAAAATTATAATAAATAAAGAGAATTTAAATTATAATACATGAATATTTTCAACAGAGGTAGGAACTTTATATTTAACAATTAATGAAATTTATAAATCGGCACAGATGTAGAAGGAGCCATACCTGACTGACGATGGAACCGTTTAACTGTGACTTGACGAGGAGAGACCGGAACACCTCGAGCTTGACGTTTCCGTTGGTGGGCGAGCAAATCTTCTCGTAGACCTCTCTGTAGAACGCCGGTATAGAGCCTGGGATTCGTGCGGGAGAAAAACATGAGACAGGTCTCCTTGGCGATCTCGCCATCGCGTCGTTCGCTCGCTCTCGACGGTTGTAAACGAGGCCTTCGAGAGCGGGCGTCCGTTCGTTTCTACCCGCGATTCTATCCGTTCTCGTCGTTCGCGCGTGACGAAATGCATACAGAGTATGCACGTATGCATGTGTGTACGATCGTGTTGTATCGATCGTTTGTCTCGTAAATTAAATCGTGCGTTTGTTAAAAGGAACTTAGGGCACTTTCTCCGCGTTTCTTACGAGAAACAATTCCATCACGCCGGATTTCCTTCAAAAGAGATATTATATTTTGATATGTTTTTTACTATTTATACAAGTTTTATTTTTAAATTTATTATGTTTTCTTATGTAATAGTTTTACTATTTATGTAAAGAAAAAGTTATGTAAATCGAATGTCATAAAATTGACGAGGAAACTTTTGACGTAAAATCTTGCGTCGCGTTTTATGCGATTCCTCAATTAAATCACAAATATATTGACATTATAATTTTATGCATATATTTGTAAAAATATTCAACTTTAAAAATTAAACAATTTTGATAAATTTAACTTGACATTTTTCGATTTGTGTAGTTCGATAAAATCTTGGATCATTAATATGCTTAATGTTATCCATATGTCGCGAAGAAATGTGACACGTAATGAAATCTTTGTCAAGATAGTCATCTTCAAAGTGCTTACGAAACATCTTATATACATTTATTAGTCAGTGTTAACATAGTTACGCGAAAATCGCGACTTAACTTCCTCTTAACACCGATTATATTTCAATGACACCTTAAAGTGTAACGCGTGTCAAGCCTAAGCAGTAAACTTTTCCCCAGCATAAAGTTATTATTATTATTATTAAAACGGAAATCACGGAGATAGGATGAGACACGCGCGTTGTTACCGTTATTACCGTCGACTACCGGCCACGCATATGCGATTACGGCGTGGATGTCAAAACGTCGCGTAAAGATCAGCTGATTACTGTCGAACGCGGCGCAACTTCAAGCAACTCTCGAATAAAAAGAGAAAAACAAGTAAATCCTACAACAGCGAAATTTTCATTCTCAACAAACGAGAGACATCCGCTCCGTTCTATATTCTAAATGCACTGATAAGAAGATCGGGGTACATCCGGGGGGACGAGCCGCCGCATTTCCGACGAACGCTCTCGACGAGAACCGGTTGACCTCGCCGGGAGACCTTGTCGCGAATTGTTGGGCTCTCTCGCTCATCATTTACCGAACGACAGATCGGTCGACGCCATGTTGGATCATCCGTGGATCATCCGTGGGATCGGCGATGAGGAGGACGGTTATCGCGACGACGACGAATTTCTTTGAGGTTAGAGTCCCGTTCCGGTCGTGCGCGGGCACGTCACGGAGACGTTTGAAAGCGCGCGCACTCACACTCGCGTGCGACGTTACGATAATACGTCGACGACGGAACGTTTGTGCGTGACGTCACAAAAAGAATCACCCTACAACATGCACCGCCGCCGTATCGCGCGACACTGACGACGGGACGCCAACAACGCGGAATGTCGTGTGCCGGGACGCGATCGGGACGCTCCAGCGCATGCGCGAAGCGACGCGGTTGACAGCGCGATGTAGCATCTGCGATTGTAAAATGCGCGTAATATACTTTTTTAATTAAAATAGCATACTTTTAATTATTTTCTATTGTTTTATTAGTTTTTTTATTTCTACTTTTTATTAATCTTAAGTGAAAACAAGAACAATAATTCAATAATTGCATTTCGCTTTGAAAATCGATTAATTGATTAATCTCCTAGGAGAGCAATATAAAAATTTACACACACTTTGAATAAGTTTCTTCTACTTTTTCAATTAGCAGCATACTTTTGATTGTTTTTTATTATTTTTAATTATTTAATTATTTTTGATTATTAAATGTTGAGATTAATATACATATCTTTAGGCTGCGAAGTATAAATGCTAAGTATACAATAATGTAGGTGGAAAAATTCGTCCAATTCGGAAAGTAGAAAAGCAAAAACTATAATAAATAATAAATAAATAAAAATAATAAATAAATAAATAAAATAAATATATATTTTTTTTAGATCTACATAAGATAAGATTGAATTATATTATTCAAAATTATTTTGCTTTCATCATTGAAATTTCCATACAGCATCTGCAAGAGGCATCGTAAAATTTAATTACTCTTTTAATTACTCTTTTAAAATAGTATACGTTTAATTATTTTGTATTATTTCATTATTTTTAGTGAAAAAAAATAATTTCTAGAATAATAACTATATTTATTTTTCTTTCGGAACCGATTAATCTCTTATATAGGAAATCACAATATAAAAATTTCTATACACTTTAAATAAATCATATTTTTTTCAATTAAAGTAACATACTTTTAATTATTTCTTATTATTACTACATAATTAATCTTTATTATTTTATTATTTTTTATTTTTTATTATTTTTAAGTGAAAACAACAATAATTTGATAACTGCATTTATTTTCCTTTTAAAATCGATTAATCGCCTGGAAGATCTAAACATTTTATATATATATATATATATATATATATATATATATATAGAATATAATAGTAGATCTATATTTTTTTCACAGTATAAATAATAATAATACAAAGTAATAAAAATACACAATGTTAAAAAGCAGAAAAAGAAGAAGAAGAAAAGAAAAACAAATACATCTACAAATTCGAATTTTATCGTTTAAAAATTATTAAATATTAAACATGAAAATTAATATGTGTATATTTTGATGATTTAAGATTATTATATTATTATTTTTTTATGTTTTCATCATTGAAATAACAATATCTATGAAAGTTATTGTAAAATACGCACACATTAATCACTTTTTCGATTAAAATAGTATACTTTTAAGTGTCTTTACTATTTTATTATTTTTTACTTCTTGTTATTTTTAAGTAGAAAGAAGAACAATAATTTGATAACTGCATTTATTTTTAACTCGATTAATCTCCTAAGATATCAATACAAGAGTTTTCTACAAATCTTGAATAAAATGTAATAATAAATTTATATTTTTTTCTCAGAATACATGATAATAATATAAAATAATAAACAATATGAATATAATATTAAAGAGCAATAAATGGAAAAGAAGAGAAAGAAAACAAGTCTACCTATATATCGGTTAAAAAATTAAAATATATTAAATATGAAAATTAATATATATATTATATACGAAAGAATAGAATACATTTACACAACTTATGATAATCGAATAATTATATTCAAATTTACTTTTGTGTTACCTTATTGAAATTTTCTTGCAGCTTATCAAATAACTGAAAATGACAAAAATATATTTGACACAACTTGATTTGTTGAACCTGATCTATCTCGATATAAATCTTATGCATTATATGTGTAAATTACGTCGAAAAACGGTGGAATTATTTTAAGGAGATTAATTTTCTTCTAATTCTCCAAGCGGAAACGGTTTTGGCGACAGTTTTTCATATTTAGATTCATAAATCTCCTTTCGTAGTTCCTCGGATGTTTGTTTATCTAGCGATTCAATGAGTCGTATTTTCTGTGCTATTTCCTGCTGTATTATGGGCCGATATTTCTTTTCCATTCCGAGATTTTCCATGTCGTGCAAAAAATCCATTCTCTCTCGAATCCCTTGTACTACTACAAGAAGCAAAGCAACAATACAATTGCATATTTCTGTTGACAACGTTGATATGTACTACAAATCTATTTTAAATTTGAAAAAATTCCATTTTTTGTAGAATCATTTATAAATGGCTGGCGATATTAAAAAGATCAAACTTTTGTTGTATGTATCCTTTCTGTATATAAATCTTAAGATATATGATAAAACCTCTGAACCTTTTTTAAACCTTCAGGTCAGGTGTAAAATAAAACTTACAATCGCTTAGAAAGTCCACATTTTCAGGTATCTGTGGCTCTCGTCTCTTCTTATGGAGGATCTTGGGACCATGAGGAGTCTCGGGCATATCTTTTCCATAAGCCATCATGCATGCCAAGTGACGCTTTTGTTTTTCCATATTGGCTAATCGGGTAAAATTGCATATCATTTAATGCACCTTTGTTTTTGATTAAAAGTAAAGTATATAATTGGAAAGAATAAAATTATTTATAATTTTTACGCAAAGGCGCTGTCCTCCTGTATTGTTCCCTCTCGTAAGCACCACTGCTTATAATCGTGTCCTGTGAACGTCTTCTCCAAGCACTAGGCAATTTAACCTATCGGAAGGGACGCTACGAGATAATATCTTGAAATCATTTTCTAAAAACGTTTTTTTATAGTGTCACGATATTTACTCGATTATCTTCAATTTTATCTTTGCTCTTCTTCGTCCTTTCAATAGAAGACGGTAAGGATTCGCCCTTGTCAACTGCTTCCTGGATCGTCTTCCTTTGCAACATTGTTAGCTTAGATTCCTCCATTAAAACTAACATTTGAAATTTTCAAAGATATTAAAAGCATGATTTTAAATTCTAATTCTGTTATAGAAAAAAACTACATCTTTTAATTCCAATTAAATGAAACATCCTTTATATTTAATATATCGATCAAATATTTTGGTTACTATTTACTCACGCTTAATGAGATTTCTGGTTTCCTCGCTGTATTTTGCTCTTGGGGGATTGTGAAAAGCACCCACGCCTAAACCAACCCTCTGATACTTTCGATCCATTATTTTGAAAATTGTAAATTCTCAAGAGGAAAATATACGCAATTATATATAATTTACTGAACGGACTGTCACACGAATTTGCATGTGCTTACTAAAGCGACAATCACGCATATACATCATCCCTCTGACTGTAATATAACATTAAGGGTGTCCATCGTGTTTCTATGACTACTTGGAAAGATGACTCAACTCAATCGAACTAACTTTCAAATTGGAATTAAAGATCGCAGCCTATTATATACCAGCAATAATTTCGAGAGATTCGTACATCATTCCAACCACAATTAAAATAATTTAATTTACATAGATTTTGAAATACAATAATTATTAATTATTTTTTAATTTCCTGAAATTTTAATTTTCTTTCTAGATCTTGGAATCTATAGGATATTTAGATCTAAAAATCTAGAAATTCTTGTTTTGTGTGAATTTATAAAGTTTTCAAAATTTAATTTATTAATATTTTATAAAATTTAGAATCTCTTAAACATTAAATATATATAAAAAAATTTAATAATATATAAAATAATATATAATAATATATCTAATTATCAAAAAATGTAAAATTTATAATTTAAATTTTTGTTTCCTTCTTTAATTTAATTTCGCTCTAGAAATACCTTAAAAAATCATTTAAAATATAAAATTACATTTAAAAATACAATTAAAAATTAATTACACTTAAAAATGATAATTGGAAATTAAATTAGCAGAGTTAAAAAAGGAAGTTAATAAAGTTTTCTTAAAGAAGGAAAATAATAATAAACTCAATAGAATCATTGGACTAATCGGACTAATCTACGCAACGCGTATAAACAAACAATGATCAATTCCGAGCGGATTGATCACTTTGTAGGATGCGCGTATGCGTGTATTGTAGCGCGTGCGCGTTTGTTGGGTTGCTTACTGACAAGAGTCCGTTTTCACCCCATGTTCCCCCTTCATTCGACACAGTAACCCTCGCGTTTTATTCAAGCATACCGACCCTGGAACCTCACAGTTTTCCGAGCACGCGAAAAATCGCGACATTTCCAACGAAAACGTCGCGTTGCGGATCCCGCATTTCGTTTCCGCAGCGCAAACCAGCAAAAATTATTGATTTCCCTTCACGAGCGAAGGGTGTTCGACAATTTGCTGAACGCTACTTGGCGCACACCTGCTGCGAAGGTAAACGGCGACGTGTGTTTCACCTACTTTCATCATCACTGCGAGTCTTGATCAAGGCTGTGTTATACAAGGGTTGTCGAGGTAGGCAAAATCGGCTTATCTAATAAATTGTTAATTAATTAGTAAACTTATCACGTGAGCACATCAGTTTAATTTGGAACCTTGTGTTTTCGTAATGCTTTATTTATAAAGAATGTGCGTTTGTTTATTAACGAGTGCAATATGTGATATAATTTCGTTTTAATATTTGCAAATATTATACTTCATATTAAGATAATGCTTTATATTATTTTTTTAAAATTTGTTTCAGTGAAATTTAATAATGCGTATTTAATGTGTGCCTGTACTGTAATAATATATATTCAATGTGTATTATAATAATGCGTATTTAATGTGTCATGTATACTATACAGGATGTCTCCAATTTAAATGTCAAAATTTAGAGAGAATATGGGAGATCGATAAACTAAGAAAAAAAAAATGTCCTTTTGAGATTTGCTTATTTTGCTTCGTTTTGAAAAAAATTGTAAAAAACACAAAAATTACTTTTTTACTTATTTATGTTGTCGTTTCCTTAAAAAAGATATTATTCAAAATGTTGGTCTCTTGGATCAATACAAGCTGGTACTGTATCATTGAGTTTTGATATTTATCAAATTGAGGACATTGTGATAAAGATAATCTGTGTATGTAAATTATATATCCGTAAATTTATAAATCTTTTCAGGAATACTTAAAAAAATAATATATAATCCGAGTAAATTTACAAAAGCCAAGATGAAGATTGGATTATTGAAAAACTTTTTACACTACTTCAACCTGAGGCAGGGAACAATACTAATTGCCATATTTCAATTGGTAACAAAAATTTCTATGAAATGTTTAGCATCTCCTGAGCAATTATTCTTCACTGAATATAATTGTAAAAAATATTACAGTTTTCTTCCGGATTCAGTATGATATTTTTCATCCTGGCGCTAGCACATGCAATGGGAATTCAAGAAATGGTGGTGAGAGACACTGAAGATGCTCTCGAGAGAGAGGCTTTGGAAGAGATATCGTCGAATCATCTCAACACCAAGAAGATGGATCTGGCACACCATAATGCAACTGGTATATATTATCTAAATATTTACAAGAGACAAAAATTATTGGCGACAATAACAAAACAAATATTATCTCCCTTTTTTTATTACATAATTTTTGAAAAGGCAATTTTATGTATTTGCAGAAATGGTATATGCAATGTATTGTGGCCTCGTCATAACAGTTATTCACTTCATCTCTACCATGTTACTTCTTTATGGAGCTTTGACGGTAATTAAAGTCACTTAAAAATTTATTTAAAGCTCAATTTCTTTCTTATATTCTACATATTCCATTTTTAGAATAATCGTCATTTTATGGCGCCTTGGATGATGGTCAAAATCACTATCATATCAGCCTTAGCGATCTCACTATTTCTAGTAGAAGAGGACTGTCCTTTCCTTGCCACTTTGGGCGGAAGGGCGGGTATTTGCGAACGTACGTTAAAATTAAGAATAGTATAAGATGCCTAAAAAATTTCCACGTTATATATACAATGAATTCTTTTGATAAAATTTTTCTAATTATATTCTTTCAATTTTTTAAGATCGCATAAAATATAAATTCTAGAACAAATTATTTCGTATTGCATTTATCGAAGCATCTTATATTAATATTTTTTCATATTAAATACATTTATTGCATTTTTTATTGAAGGATATAATATTTTCAGGTCTTATCGCCTTTTTCCTGATAATTATGAGCTTTTACGTTTGGTTCGTTGTATATAGTACTTATAAGAGCCTCGAGACAAAGAAAGGACTCACGCACGAAGTGCATAGTATGAAAAAAAAGTACGCGGTTCCTGTGCCACTAGAGGTACCAAAAGCGATCCAGGTTTCAGCGAACAAACCCTACGAGCTTTAAAGATATTATGAGGATAAAGATAGAGCAACGAAGAATTCGTGGATGAGGAAATCTGTGACTTTGCAAAGACGCGAGATTTAATCGCGAAGGAGCTCTCTATGGCGTGCAATCTTGAAAGAAAATCGTGTGCTTTGAAAAAAGTAAAATTGGAAAAGTAATTAAAAAATGATTGCAAAATCGCACAAGAAAAGTGCATTATGTTGGAAACGAAAAATTAATTAACGGCGCAGAAAGTATCATGAGAAAAAGTATATTCGACGTAGGACGTGAGAAGATAAATGAAAAAAAAAATATATATATATTACTGTACAAAACTCCCAAAAAGTCCTGGCAAAGGACTTTGCTTCTTATATTTAACACGTTTCTTCTTGTCCTGTTAAAGTTACGCGCTTCTTTACGTTTGTGCGTTAAAACGGCTCTTTAATTCGACGCACAGATGCTAATGTCGTTATAGGTATACTTAAATTATCCAATTGAAAAACTGCATATCCACTATACGCACACGTACGACACATGTAAGTTCTGGATTTTCACTCGTCGGATAATTCTGACGGATAAAGTAATCGCGACTTCAACATTATAATCTCACTGCTATACGAGTGCGCACTTCCTTTCGCGCGCAAGACTGAATTTAATTTTTTAATGTGAAATATTCTCGAGATATCTTCGCTCGGTAGATAGTTCTTAACAATGTAAAAAAAAAACTTGATGAATTATAGATTAATTTGTTAAAGAAATAGCGGCAGGACTCCGCGAGTCGTGGCATATATATACATATACATACATGCATATGTATATATGTATGCATATATGTATGTATATATGTATATATGTATACACATATATATATAATTAATTTTATTTCATATTTCAACTCAATCTCTTTGTGAAATTACAACTTTGTTATTTGCGGTAATCCGTGTGATATAAAGTTTGTAGAGTCACTTCTTGTGTATATGTATATTAAATGTATGGAAAAACGTAAAAATAAAAATTACAATACATTCCAGTACGATACATACATGATATGATTCGACTATAAAACGAAACATGTTCATTTAATCTCCAAAAACAGAATCTCCCGGTTATAAAATCAATTTTTGCTTCTATTGTAAAATGGTAATTTAGCCCCTACTTTTTTAATTTTCCGAGAAAATGATTTTAAAACCTTATTTCATGCCAAAAGCTAAATATGATTTCATAAAAATGTCACTTTATTTCACTCAATCTCGTTCTCTTTTTCGTCCAGACAAAATACCAGCAAGATTGATATAGAACTAGATATGTTTCTGAATAATAAACAAGTTTATGCCCCGATTATATTTGGCTAATCCCGAATTATGATTCTATAACCGGGAACGCAGTATTTATATTGATAACTTGTTTAAAACCATTAAAGGGAGTAGAGATGTATATATCATTTTTATATATAACGTATTTATATATAACGAAAAAATTTGTAAAGCTACAAAAACATAAAATCGATAAAGATACACGATTGCATTGCAAAGCTTTTACTGCACAGCTACAGAAAATGATTATTTGTTTTTTGCCACAATGATGTTTATGGCCAACATTCGCTTTAGCTATAGTTGCAGTAGCATTCTTATCTAAACTGTAAGAAAAAATGTGAGTATCACGTCAACAAGTAACTTGCGGTGTCCCCTGTGTTATAGCTGGGGTATATTCCTTCTGTTTTTTCTTTTTGATATTTAAAAACTTGCTCTTCTCTTAATAGGCGTCAGGGTGAATAGGCTCATGTAACAGGTTTATGACATAATCTCTGTTAACGCGTTTTACGATGCTCGCATCGATAATTTTCTTTTTTTTTCTCTCATTTTCTTTTTCGAAAAATCGCGCACAATAGATCAACGATCGGTATTACCAACAATTAATTAGAACTCTTTATTTGGTCCTCTATCATAACATCCGATATGGACGTTATTTTTCCTATGAACAATCCACATATTGCAAATCTCAATGAGCAATGTACTTCCGCCATATTCGCCCATTTTTATTAGCTGATATAAATAAAAACAACGAAGGAACACGACGATGAGTCGTTTCTCGTCGTACGGTTAGGAATTCACCGCCGTTATCGTCCTCCAATCACGCTTTGTCGTCGGTCAATTCGAGAAACTGTGCATAAAAGTCTCTCGTGCATTCACCCTTGTTGTTGAATACAAACTTGTAATAACTACCGTCCGCACATATCACTGCACAAGAGATTGTAAACGTAAGAAAGCTTGTCATATACATCGTATATGTATATATTTCGAAATCACAGCTTACCTATAATGCTATTGTTATCTTGACCAAACGCGCACATGCACTGGGGACCGCTCGGCACTTGGAATTTGCAGAAACTCCAACTCGAGCTAAAGTACTTTGGCAAAAACGTGGCGGACGCTAAACTAGATTGACGATTTAATTTTTGATCTTCGACGGCGAATACGTGTACGGTTCCGTGATCACTGGCAACACATAGCCACGTAGAATCGTGATTGAAATTAATGCTAAGAATAAAATATATGCATCAATTGATGTTTAACATTCCATACATATACAGGGTGGCCTCGAACGTTCTAGCCAAACTTTGAGATCTTATAGGAAATTTAGTTCTGAACAAAAAATTTCCGATAAACATGGGTCGAAACATGCTTCCTTAAGAAGTTATCGCTCAAAAATCTCTGATGAAGGAAGAGCAAAAGGTGAAAAGAAAATGAAATAAAAAGAAAATGAAACTAAATAAATTTCTTGAAAAAAACGATAAAAATAGAAAAAAATTTTTTTCTTTTATGAAAATAAAATAATTTTTTTTTGTTTTAACTAATATTTTAGTAATAGCACGTAATAGTAGAAAATGAATAAAGACGTTTTTTAAGAAATTTATTTAGTTTCATTTTCTTTTTATTTCATTTTCTTTTCACCTTTTGCTCTTCCTTCATCAGAGGTTTTTGAGCGATATCTTCTTAAGGAAGCATTTTTTGACCCATGTTTATAAAAAATTTTTTGTTCAGAATTAAATTTCCTATAAGATCTCAAAGTCTGGCTGGAACGTTCAGGGCCACTCTGTATATTTTATCCATCACATCTTTGCGCTCTCTTACCAATAAATATTTGCATGATTTGCCCCTCTTCTCAATTCATTAATCATGTTACCATTTTGCGTATCAAATACTCTTATCAGAGTGCCCTTCTCCGAGGCAGTAGCCAATCTAGTGCCTTGCAGGTTTAAAGCTATGCAAGATAAAGGTGTTTCATGCGCTTCTATATTTAAGGGTTGCTTCTCTGTATTAGCCAGATCTATAACTGAAACAAAAGCAAATTTCGTTGTATAACATGTATAAAGCGCATTAATTGTTTCCTCGCAACTAAATTTTACCTTGAACATGGCCGTTCTTTCTTCCAGGAAAGGCGAGCAAAGAGTTGTTACTATTCGGGCATAAAACGCATAATCCTCGCGGATTAGGATTAGTTTCAAACACGTGCAACTGTTGGGGATTTTGCGTAAATGTGTACACTTTTATAACACCTTCTAATACCACTACTATCCTGTCCCTCCTCAATTTCACTCCTTTTACAGATGCATTAAATTCTAAAGTGATTGCTGGCAATTTTTTTATATCATCCCATATCATAACTGCAATTGTAAAAATACAAATGATATCTGTTTACAATATTTATAACATATATATGGAAAAATTAAAAAAACCTTTATTTGTTGGATACATTGGCTTGGCTCCGCCGCCAACTAACGCTAAATAATTACATCTGAAGAGCATTTCTACATATCCGAGACCTCCGTCACTAAAATCGTGTCTCTCTTTCTCTTTCAATGGGTCACAATTGTAAACTCTGAATCCATTCTCCATACCACAAGCAAAACATCCTGCAAATGCATGAACAAAACTGATATCTTTATCTACTTATATACATCCCTTTTCTTAGCAATATTAATCACATTTATGATAAGTACATATTAACACAAACATAAACTAACTGGATATGATAAACTCATACATATTAATGTGATATCACGAACATGAAACGTGCAATCATACGCAACATGTAACGTACATACTTGCATACATGTATATACATATATGACGACATGATTTTGAAAAAAAAAAAAAATATTGATGAGCATTGTATCATTTTATTACATTTTTTTTCTTTTACAAAAATTAGAATGAAATAATTTATTGATAAGAAAATAGATGATCGGTACAAGTTGAAACCCACGTGTGTCCCGAATGACATTTCAATGTCGAGAGATCATTGACATTTCTTCTCGGAATGAATTAATTGATTACGATCCACGAATGCATGGAGATGCAGGAACTAGGTTAGGAACGATAAACTCCGTTACGGTCCGCGTAACATCGAACGGTTTCCGCAGTCAGGATCGCGAGGCTGTAAGCCTGCTGTCCTGACGTCAGGAGCCTGGCGTCAAGCATCGCATCCCGGTCGCGTTTGGCTCGTATCGGCATCGGCGACGTAAACATCTCGCGCGAGTGAGGTTAGACGGAGCGGATCTGACAGTGCGTGGGATAAACGCGCGCTGTCAAACGTAGGCGCGTGGAATCGCGCGCGACGCACGCACTTACCTTGGTCCTGATTGAAGCCGGCGTAGAGCAAGCCGTTGCCGTGCGGGTTCCCCGCGGTCAGGTTCATCGTGGATCGCCCCGATGACGAAAAAACATCCGGATCCAAATAAAATCTCGCGCTCGCGACACTCGATTACATCCTCGCCGGTTAGAGCCGCGATACTTCTCCCCGTTCGCCGCTACGAGCGTAGTCGGGAGAAGACGCATGTGTATGTGCGTGTATGTGTATGCACACATACTCGACGTCATGTACGTAGGAAATATTGAATAAAAATTTTCACTAAATTGTATTAAATATGACAATTTAATCGGAATTTTTTATTAATATGTTAATTATAAATTATTATGAAATTTTAATTCAAGATAAAAAAAATCGTATGTCCATGCTGTCGCACACACGTGCGCGCGCATCTCCAGCTTTGAAGTTTGATATATTTATAGAGTCAACGATGTATATATTTGATTTGATAAGATTGTTAAATAAATAAAAACGAAATTATCTTAGTTAATTTATTATGTACTACATATATTTATAGTACTATATATATAATATAGTACTTATGTAGTACTTATATATATAGTACTATATATATAATAAAATAATTGACACATATTATATAATAATTAGCGTAGATAAAATAAAAGAAAAATAGAGCTATTTAATGTGATATTTTTTTAATATAAGGGCGTGTTTTTTATGACGTGAGTTAAACAATTAATAAGAATTTGTAAGAACAAATCGAATCGCCCAAAACGATACGAGGCACCCTAATGCTGTCATGCTAACTGTTGCCATATTAGCATTATTACAGAGATCTTTATCACACATAATACAATTTACAGTATCTATGGTTATGATTTCAGGAACAACATTGAAGTTACAGGTGCGAATAACAATCTCAGTACCGTTGGATAATTCTGGAAAAAATTGTATTTATTATTAACAATTCTGAAATCGTTATGTAAATAATTAAAATAATTAAAATAATATTAAAATAAAATAAAGGAAATGTGTTATGAAAAAATAAGTTACATCCATAATATACATATATGTATTATCAAAGTATTATGCGCTTAATGATGAAAACAATATATTCCTAATTAATATGCAAGAAGCATATAACTTTTAAAACTATATAAAAATAATATTCTATATATAATATATTAAATAGATTATTAGAGAGCATTTTATGCATAGTTATATTCGAAATTTGTCTAAATTCCTTTCTCTTACTTTTAGAAAGAAATACCTGATGATTAAAATACCTGATGTATTAGAAATCATTATATATAATATATATTCGTTCGTCATGCATCGCTTAGTACTTACTATAATTACAAATCGCACAATTGGTTATAGTTGGACACTCTGCTACCTCTCTCAGCGATGGTTTGCTTGCACAAGTTTTACTAATTCTCGAATCGCACAGGTAACATTGCTTTGCCTCTCCTTACGATAAAAATAATAGATTTTAATAAAAATATTTTCGCATACAATTATATGTTGAATTAATGGAGTCAAGAGCAAGAAAAAATTTCCCCGATAATAGTAATTAGGAGACTTAAAAATGAGATTTTTTGATTATACGAATGTTAAAAATAATATCTTCTATTTTATTAATTTTGATATTAATTCCACAACAAATTTATGATGATTCTTAAAATTAGATTTTATAGTAGATGTATATGATGTAAAATCCTTGTAATTTGATTTGAAAAGTTTGTCATTTCTACAAAATTATCATGTTATCAAATAAATCATCAAAAATTTATGTAAAACGTACCATAATGAAGAAGAGCGAATGCGACTACGAAAATAGTGATCAAAAAAGAACGAAATTCCATTTTTAATGTGCTTTGATTTATGTCCAATCAATGACTGTCGCCATACGTTGAGAAATCTAGAATATACCTGCCTATGTTATCATCATTTTTTTCGCTACAACTGATTCGCTACAACTAATAAACGATAGATTATCGCTTGGTTTCCACCACGCCCTTATGCGATTAATACAAGAAAAAATAAATTTTCAAGAATTCACTTATTAATAGTGATACTTAGAAGAATTATATATACTTTCCATTATATAAAAATTTACATTGTTTTATTTTGTTAGCAAATAAATTTTTATATATAAAATAATATAATATAATACAATTAACATAATCTTTAAATGAAAAATGAACTATTCTATATTTGTTACATTCTTTTATATTCATAGAAAGATTTTATTAAGAATTTCTTTGAGATACAATATTTCTTGTAAAGAAATATGATATTAATTTTGCACAATATAAATAACGAAATATTTTAATTATCTTTATAACACAGCAATATTTTGTAATGATATAATTATACACACACACATACACATAAAACATATATATATATATATATATATATATATATTCATTATTTAATAATTTTATATATATAAAACTTAAAATTAAAGAAAATATCATTTGTAATGAAAACCATTTTACAATCATAACTTGAATTCTCTCCATAAATTAAAAAAAAATTTATTATATATTTAGGTATAGCTTCTTGTTATTCTGAATTATTTTATAAATATTATAATTTAAACAAAATCTATACAAAAATATCTGATATTAAATCATTTATATCATATTAAAAACTTGAAAGATACACAATTTGCGTGTGTGTACGTATATGTGTTCATTTTATTAGCAGTATTATTACATATTAGGAGTGTCCGTACAATAATTCGTAGTGTAGAATAAAATTTTACTAACTATTTATTGCTTATCGCGAGTTTGCTGCTAAAGAATCACAAAATTGTTATAATAATTCTACAACTGATAAGCTTCTGATAATAAACTTCTTTTATCAATACTTTTTATCAAATTTTGCTTTATAATATATCAATATTATATTTTGCGGAGCTATTCTGTTTTCTAAGTATTTTTTAAGCTTTATATATAAAGTTCATTAAAAAATGTAAAGTATGATATGTGATCGTGAAATTCATTAACTGACAGTATTATCCACGTAAGCGTAACTCAATTCCATTTACTGTATCCGCTAACGTTATCGTAGACGGGCGGGTCTCTTAATCATAATACATAAATAGAGAGAGCTTAAACGCGCAAAAAGACTTAATACTAAAGGTTCTTTTGGCACACGAAATAAGGATGGTTACGACAACAATTTGTACAAATGATGCGATTGAATGAAATACGAAAGCAAAACTAACAAGTTTCCAATCTTGTGAAAAGAAAAAATGCATATTCGCAATGTGAAATTTAAGGAAATGACAGCATATCATCGCAAGAGAACAAAACGCTTTAACATCAATCAAAATAATTATAATACAGAAATAAATTTGACATTTAAATATTTTTTGTGATAAGCTTAATGTAAAAATTTTTCTTTTATATAAAATTATATCTATAATCATTTTATTGTAAAATATTGCGAAACAATATTTTTTTTTAGCCTCATAATTATCCCGATGGATTTATAATATTTTATAATTTTTATAATGTGATATATTAATATATCTATATAATATTTTATATTCAATTATAGAGTTCGTTAAAATTATCTACATGATCCAATCAGAGAGAAGACTGAGAGATGTTCTGGCTTGCTTTTAGGTGATTTCTGAAAGCGATACACCCTCTATGAATATTGAAAACGTGGACATGAATTACAAACCCAATGTCCATAAATGTTCTCAGAGAGTAATATATAATGTGCACAATTTCTGATTTTGTTCCGTGCTATGTACACGAAATGGCGGTAGCACGAGTGCTGTATAACAATAAGATACTTATGTATGTAAATTGATAGTAAATAAATTATTCAATCGCGAAAAATACTGTAATATTCAGAGATGAAATAAATATTTTTCTATATCCACTGTTATATTTATATCTTGTTCTTAATTACAAAACACAAAATGCCTGGTTGGATAAAAACATTTTAATATTTCTATAAATCTTCTTAATTAACAGTAAACTGATCTGTGATATTTATGAATCATTTTTTTAATTATTTAAAAATTTAATTATTAATACATGTATAGAATTTGTCAAATCAACTCTGATTGTCAAATAATCCACTGTTTCTTGTGAAATTTTTATAATTAAGACTCGAAAAATATAAATGTTGCAAAATATTTTAAGTCTCTTCCTTTATATAAAATATAAAGAATTCAGACTCTACGAATTCATTACCTTAAAGTTAAATAAAAGTTTTTCTCACTCACCGGCACTGATGCGCAACAGCGGAGTTATCGAAGCTACGTTGTCTGTAACATACAAATATAAAATTTATTTATAATAATGTTCACAAAATACAATCAATATTTCAAAAAATTTTTATCGTTCGGAATTTTATATCCGATGTGTCGATGATCGAATCGTAATCGTTCATTACTGCGAATAAAAATCGAAACTATACATACAAACAATAGCATCCTAATGTTTACGTCGTCAAAATCGAACTGTGTAAACTAATGTTACGGACAATAATTATTATTTTAATACTTAGAGTCACAAATATATTCCATCCGCGTTATTTTATCATTCTACTTGACAATATAAATATAATTTGGATTATGAGAGAACACGAAGTAAAACTATCGAATTATGGATGCAAATAATTAGCATAACGAAAGACTTCATGAGTGATGAATAGTTTAATAAATAATCAATTAATCTTAATCAATAAATTAAAATACTTTCATAATTTAATATTCCTCGTGCAAATATTTTATATTACAGAAACGTATATTTCGGCAACGAAAGAATTATCAATAACACCGTGTTCGATCTTGATAAACAGTAGCGCGCTATTGTTAATATGTTACGTGGCTTTATTATCATTCGCACAGTGACTTCGAGTAGTGAGAGACGTTTCACGTATTATCAAATTTTTTCTTACATAGTCAACCTTAACGATATAAACAATACCGCGATAATGTTTCTGACTTACGATCATTCGCTCAGTGACTCTTGAGCAATGAAGTAGTGATGTGAGACATATCATATATTATCAAATTTTTCTCTGAACACAATTAAAAGTGTAACAAGAAACTTTTCGTGAATGAGTGTAAGTGCAACGAGGAATTCAAATGATTGCAACGAGGATTGAAGTGCCATGAGGAAAAAGCGAAGGAAGCAAAAGAAAAAAGAAGATTTTGGAAATGGATGGACCAATAAGATATGATGTAAGTCATTAATATAAATTATTTATCACATTTATTTATTATATTGTTGCGTCTTTATGTCCCGTCCGGCTGAATTCGTTACCGTTGAATTTTTTCGAAGAAGATCGTTTCCACGCGCGTTGTCAAGATATTGTTATAAACAACCACTGTCAAAGAGTCTGAGCCCAGCTCAAGACGCGCGTCTATTTGTGATTTATTTTACGATTATTCTGAATTCTTGTATGTTACTCGGTCTATTAAAATTCTTATACATCTTAAATCGCATTATTATTTACGAGTGCACGAATGTCAGCGTATACCGATTGTGTCGCGCACGTTCGATATATATCGCGATTTATAAAATGAAAATATATCTATTTAAAAGTAAAAATTAATTGCGCGCAATAATTAGTTTTAAAATCAATTATTTTGCAAAGAACATTGCTTTATATAATAGATTTTCTTTTAACTTTTATATTTTTATTTATTATTTATATTTGCGAATTTAAATTTATGCATTTATGTATTTATTATTACTTTATTACAAAATAAATTTTGTATTATATTATATATAAAATTATATATAATATAACCCTCCCATGGGGTACACCTTGTCGCGGTGGGAGGGCTTAGTACCTGGACGGTGCCTTGAAGTTTATCTTAAATTTTCCAATTTTTGATAAATCTTAAGGTGCCTGAATGGGAAGCTAAGTACCCTTTCGCATCGTCGATGCCGTCAACGTGCCGCGGACGGCAAGCGCTTCGTTAGCGCCGTGTTTTCACGTTGTAATATTCTCGCGTTGACGCGTTTTGCGAAACCGGGAGTGTCGTACAAAGTATATATATATTAAATATATACATCGCGCGACCAAATTTTTAATCGCATCGAAATAGTGCGGGAGTGCCGTTTAGTATCGCGCGTAAAATAACGAAAATAGCGACATAAAAATATCGCTCGCGAGTGCGGGAGTGTCGTCAAAAGTTCGCGCGCCAACAACATGAGAGGAGGAGGAGGCCTGGGACAGGCATCTTGCATCGGCGGAGCAACCTGATGGTGAATATTTGTTATTTATATATTAATTGGTATAAATTGTACGGATAATAATTCGGTCTTATTATTTAAATGAATTAAAGAGAATAGAGAAAAAGATTTTTATAAAAGTCATATAAAACTTTCTATTTAAAGAACCGTCTCACAAATTTATAAAATTTTTCCACACGTGTTTATCTCTGCTTATTATTTTACACATCGGATATAAAATTTCGAAGGATAAACATTTTTTGAAATATTAATTGCATTTTCCGAACATTATTATAAATGAATTTTATATTTGTATGTTATAGACAACGTAGCTTCGATAACTCCGCTGTTGCGCATCAGTGCCGGTGAGTGAGAAAAACTTTTATTTAACTTTAAGATAACGGATTCGTAGACATTGTAGATATAGATGTAGATTGTAGATTTTAGTAAATCCGTTGCCTTAAAATGGATGAGCTAGGATAGATTAAATTAAATAACTATTAATAAATTCTTTCGAAATGCTTTGTATCTATTGCGAAAATGTATTGAAGTATTAAATAAAAAAAAAGAATCAAGAAAAGAAATTTTTTTTGTAAAGATTTTGTCTAATTTATGAAATAAAGAGCATTAATAATTTTATCAATTTTATCAATTTTTTATGCTACTTTATTTTTATAACGCGCACTTCTTTTATTCTAATTTCTTATAGCTCATCCATCATAGAATTTGTTTGTAGATATTGTTTTTAAACTTTATTTTAACTTAATATAAATGATTAATTAACTAAATAATTTGTAATATAATAAAAGTTATAATTTGAATAATTTATTTACTATCAATTTACATACATAAGTATCTTATTGTTATACAACACTCGTGTTACCGGCATTTCGTGCACATAGTACGGAACAAAACCAGAAATTGTGCACATTATATATTACCCTCTGAGAACATTTATGGACATTGGCTTTGTAGTTCATGTCCACGTTTTCAATGTCGGTAGAGGGTGTATCGCTTTCAGAAATCACCTAAAAGCAAGCCAGAACATCTCTCAGTCTTCTCTCTGATTGGATCTGTTTTTCATGTAGATAATTTTAAAGGTGCAATTTCATTGACGCTAGAAACCAGCAGCAAATTAAAATCACTAGACTTTCTCTAGATATGGCGTCAATAAAATAAAGTTCAAACAGTTTCAACTTTTTCAGTGTGTAAAGCGGCCTTTTCATTGACGCTACTTTTTAGCGTCAATAAAATTACCTTAATAGTTGGCAGCCCTACGAGATAGGCTGTGCTGCGCGTATATAAAATAAATTTGAAATCGCTTCTAGCCTAACCATCTTCACGCGATCGACTTTATTTGAATTGCACGGCATCGCATCGAATTATGATGCGACGCCGATTTGTTCGAACGTAATTCGGGACATCGCGATGCTGTATAAGCGTCGAATGAGCACGAATTGTCACGCAAATATGATAAATCACATCTACTCACCGTTCACCGGCTGTTCCACAGGCCGCTCCACTCGCTCGCCTCGGGACGTCCCATTCCGATCTTGATGCACACGATATCATCAACGCGAACGCGCGACACTTTATTCGGCACTCCCGATATTCGCTCGCATCCGATAATCATCATCAAGGGCGCAAATAACGCGACGCGACTTCGCTCCATCTTCGCGATCGCGCTATCACTGAATTGTCGAAAACGGCTGTCGCGCACTTTCACTGACATATTATGAAAGTCGCGCGATCATCCTTGGACACTTTCGACGCTCTTTCACTCGCGATATTCGTTTAAAAACAGTTAAAAGACGCGAAAAATGCGGACGTTCGACGATCCGTGTAACTGCGTATGACTCCGACTCACGTATGACGCGTATGACGTAGCAATGACGCGTATGACGTAGCAGTCACGCGCTAACATGGCGGCCGAACCAGTGCGCATTCGTTTCTGCGCATTGGTTCGGCCGCCATGTTAGCGCGTGACTGCTACGTCATACGCGTCATACGTGAATCGGAGTCATACGCAGTTACACGGATCGTCGTACGTCCGCATTTTTCGCGTCTTTTAACCGTTTTTAAACGAATATCGCGAGTGAAAGAGCGTCGAAAGTGTCCAAGGATGATCGCGCGACTTTCATAATATGTCGGTGAAAGTGCGCGACAGCTATTTTTCACAGTTCAGTGATAGCGCGATCGCGAAGATGGAGCGAAGTCGCGTCGCGTTATTTGCGCCCTTGATGATGATTATCGGATGCGAGCAAATATCGGGAGTGCCGAATAAAGTGTCGCGCCTTCGCGTTGATGATATCGTGTGCATCAAGATCGAAATGGGACGTCCCGAGACGAGCGAGTGGAGCGGCCTGTGGAACAGCCGGTGAACGGTGAGTAGATGTGATTTATCATATTTGCGTGACAATTCGTGCTCATTCGACGCTTATACAGCATCGCGATGTCCCGAATTACGTTCGAACAAATCGGCGCCGCATCATAATTCGATGCCGTGCAATTCAAATAAAGTCGAAGTGGTTAGGCTAGAAGCGATTTCAAATTTATTTTATATACGCGCAGTGCTGCACAGCCTATCTCGTAGGGCTGCCAACTGTTAAGGTGCAATTTCATTGACGCTAAAAAGTAGCGTCAATGAAAAGGCCGCTTAACGAACTCTGATTACAGATATCTATAATATAACTAGATCGCTAACTCCCATTGGTCGCATTCACTGGACTCTATGATTGAGCATTACTAGATTTTCCGATGTAATTCGACGCTGATTGGTCGAACCTGAAAATAGAAACCAATCATGTTCGCTTGCTATTTTTAGCAAGTTGAGTCCATTGAATGCGGCCATTGATCAGCTGTGATCAGCTGATAGTTGAAAATGCGGTGCACTTACTCAATGGTCGCGTACAGAGTTGTTGTTTATTACACGCGCACATCTTTATTCTTCAATTAATTAATTAATTCCCTCTTGTGTATATACGAGTGATATATATTGGTATATTCGTCAAGAATATACGATGCATGGAATTACTAGAGGATAAATAATTCACAAGGAACATCGATATCAAGCACGTTTACTAAATGACGACTTTGTTAGGTTAGACTAGACGTATTTGTATACTGGATAAACCGAGATGAATTGTTTCTGTAAAATTGTTTCGCAAACGAGAAGCGTGTACACTAATTGCATGCTATTGAAAGAGACTCCGCGGAATTTGAAGGGCAAGAAACACAGTTCGCAGCTATGGTTAATGAGGCAAATACGTGATCCTTATGTGGAGAAGGCGAAACAGGAAAATTACAGATGCAGAAGCGCGTTCAAGCTACTGCAAATCAACGAGAAATACAAAATTTTCTGTCCGGGTCTGACTGTCATTGATTGCGGAGCAGCACCTGGTAGCTGGACGCAAGTCGCCACCAATTTAACTAATTCACACGCCAAAAGTCAAGGTCCCATTGGCAAGGTATACGCTATTGATAAACTGCCATTTTTTCCTGTGGAAGGTGCGACCGTCTTGGGAAATATGGATTTTACAATCACCAAGACGCAGGAGACTCTGCTTGCATTATTGCAAGGTAAAAAGGCCGATGTCGTCTTATCCGACATGGCTCCAAATGCATCTGGCATAAGAGCGATAGATCACGATAATATAATATTATTAGCGTACGCGGCTTTGAAATTTGCACTGCAAATCACTAAGATACACGGTACGCTCGTTATAAAAGTTTGGGATGGCGGCAAGTCGCAAGAGTTGGAGCAGAATTTATTGAGATTTTACAATAACGTTAAGATAGTCAAGCCTGACGCGACAAGAGACGAGTCGACGGAAAAATTCTTTTTGGCCAGAGGATTTAAGGGCCTGAAGACGAGCTGATCCAATTAAAGTCGACATACATATTAATTTTTTATTATAAGATACGACGAAGATATGCGTGTGAGGACAGGTTGTACAAATAACAGAGCACAATAATTTTGGTATCATACGAATATCGTATGCATTTTTTTTTTACAACTCCTTTCACTTTGTTATCTAACAGGCGGCCTTGCACAACATGACAAATGCAATATACATCGATAGTGTACGCTATAAATAATACAATACAGTTACACAATGAATACGCATCGGGACGTTGTTGTTAACACTTATATTATATATGCTAAGTATATACATTTCTCAATAATAAAACTAATATGTACATGAATCGACATCTAATAATACGAGAGACATTACACACCACATTGAAACGCATTGTAGACTTACTGGCCGCATAATGTCAAGTATTATAAAAACTATTCGCTTTCGCAGCGAAACACGCGCTAAAGTAACGAAAGCTAATTCGAAATGTTTGGTGACAGTGGGTCTCGATAACTCCTGCTATAATAAAGATTACAACTTTCTAATTGCGACATTATATACGCAACAAGTCATAATCGAAAAGTGAAACGATCTGACAAATTTCGATACAATAGGATTTAGTGAATATTATTCGAAGAAAATAAGCTCGGAAAGTTATTTAATTAACGTAATTATTTAATCAATAATATATATTCGCTATTTTTTTATTTTAGAGAAAAGATATAGGAAGCTAAAATAATTCCAGGAATATATTAATAACATATATATACATATTATTTTATTATATGTATATGTATATTATTTATAAAGTAAAATGTGTTTATTAAAAAAATTAATTTGTAATTAACACTAAGAAATTGAATTTTTTTAATATGTAGCTACACTATTTTGTTCGAATAATTCACCGATATCGATCTAAATAATTACTTTGCGTATTAATGCTTTTTTTCCTTTCTCTCTCTTTCAATCCTCTCAAGTATCATTACCATATAATACTGTCTAGACAAATAAAAGTTTTATTAAGCGTTCTTGCTTATTGTAAGCTGGAAGCGTTTATTATAGCGGGTTGTCGATAACGTTTCCATCGAAGCGCATGTGTGAATATACAAAAGACAAAGCAAATATACGATAAAATTGATCGAAACTTATCAACTCGAAAAATTTCGATCATTCTTCGAATTATCGATGTGAAAGAACGATTGTTTCAGGTCACATCGAAAACACTTACACTACGTTGCCGGCTACAATGTAGGTGTAATTCATCGATTGATCTGCGATATAAAATAATCTAAGACATCGAATAACACGCTCGCTCATTAGGCGAATTATAAAATCGACTCGCTTAAAAATCTGTCAAAATCGAGAAGCGACTTACGTCTCCTTCTCCGAAAATTCTTACAACGACGTGCTCTATAATATTACTCCGTTACTATGCGATTCTCAAGATTTCATACGACCGGAAATCTCGATTTTTTTTTCCTACTCTATAATAATAACCCTAAAGATCAGTCTGCTTCGATAACACCTCCATTAATAGATTAGCTCGACATATCGCTCGTGAACTCGTTAAACGCCGCTTATATATCGTTATCTCGAAAGTAGTATTAGCGTTCTGACAAGCCCAATAACGATCCATCCGTTATACAGAGAATAAAAATTCAGCAATATTTCGCATGAATTAATAACTCCTTTCAACGCTATTTATTAGCAATATATTTCACACTACAAATTTATTATTTCACACTTTTATCGCATATTTAATATTAAATATCATGTATGTTTTTAATCGGTGTATTCTTCATGTAAGTAATATGGAATTTTTCCTAATAAGTAATAACGGAGTTAATAATGTGAAATCAGCGCAAGTAAAATTTTATTAAAAATCAATGGTTACATATATAAGTTCATTAAAGTTAACATAGTTAAGAAATATAAAATATATGAGTTCAGAATATCGCACGTGTAAAATCAAATATGCAACGAAAATGTGGATCGTTATGAATTTTTATAATTGATAAAATCGAAAAAATATCACTAAAAAAATTTAAAAACGATCTCAATCTTACATTTCTCTGCTAGTCTATTTTAGCGCATTCTAAGACCTTATCTATGTTTCGCTTGCTTGTTTCATAAATATTAGCTTAGTCAATGAGATTCGATGTAAAGTTTCAACGATTTGATTTCCTTATTCGACGTATAGCACAGCAGTATATTTTTTTTCGCAATTCAACATTTCACCATCGCTAAATGCAACGAGTTCGCAAAGAATATCCGATGCTTACAACTCATCATGCATTTGTCTAAATGCAAGATGCGGTTGAAAATTTCCATAAAAAGTTCATTATTATGGCGAAAATTCTGACATCAGTATTATGCAAATCTCTTACACTAACATATTTCTTTTTCTATTAAATTTTGTTATCGATAACAAAACGTAACTATCAAATTGCATTCTTTATATGTTGGAAGCGATTTGGTTGCAGTATAGCTATGGGTTTCTATGGAAAAAAAATCTTTCCAGATTCGAACTTAATGATCAATATGACTCGTGACATATTTGTTTAGTACGTTTTTTACTAAATATTTTCGCTATTATGAGTTCAGCTCGATTGTTTTTTTTTTCACACGAGAGCCTGGAAGACACCTAGATCACTCCTTTTGAGATCGTCAAACTTTAAACGGCTCGCAGCATTCGCAACTCAAAATATCAGACACGATTTACGGAGCATTTATTGTGACATTACAGAATAAAATATTTTCAATCGATGATCCTTCTCGTCAATCCCGTTTCTTTTTTTCGAAGCTTCTTTTTCTCGTGCTGCAGCGATCTAAATGTCGCGACTTCGTGCGATTTTGGAATACTTCTGGCGAATTCACTTGGCACAGTTCCAAATACGGTTTACTAGATACTTTTTTTAAGGAAAATAATATAAGGATAATTAGTCGTCGATTGGCAGTCTTGTCTTCGGCGTGAACACCCTGTTGACGTTCTCGGACGATATTTCTGGCGTGAAGAATCTCGCCCGACTTCGCAATCGCGATATCCGGTGGAGTCGGCGGCGTAGCTCCTGAGTATCTTCGGTCGCTTCATCATCCGGAACCTGATCTCCGCGATGAACGCCAGGGTCCCTGACCAGCGGCATGTTGTTCCAGAAGTGAAACAAATCCGGTCTCTGCTTCTGCCTCTCGCTCGTCGGGACGTGATCGGTTTGCAGTCGCTCCGGCTTCCAGCTCGGCAAATAGTAGACCGGTTTCTGGCGAACGGGGACGCTACTCTTGGTGCTGGTGCCATCGTGAGCATCAACGTCGTCTATGGGCTGCTTGTGACCTAGGCTGTGTATGCTGTTGGCCTCGCTGGACGGGAATCTCACGTAATCATCCTGCCGCGGTTTGTTCACGTGGTCGGGAAACCTTACATAGTTCTCGGGCGAGCCGAGGTTTATCGTGGTTCGTTTGAAATCGTTAGTGGGAACAGTTAGAAAATCTTTGGAGTTTCCTTGCAGCGTGCTCTCTTTGACGGTTGATTGTTCCTTATCGGTCATACGGGTTTCTGTTATCGCGTCTTCCTCCGGAAAATGGTACAAAAGCGACTCTATCGAAGGCAGGACAACTTTGTCGTTCTTCTTATCTTCGAGCTTCGTCAAATGTTCGGTTCGTTTGCGTCCGGGCAGACTGGTAAACATCGTGTCGCGCGCTTCATGAGAAAATACGACCTCTGGTTCGGTGTTGGACCGGGGAGGATTCTTGCTGAACGATTCCTTGTGATCGTCATCGCTGATCTTAATCTTTCGAATCACATCCGGGGACGTGGGAGTAGTTTGTAGCTTCTCGGTGTTTACGTCCAAGAGAGTCGTCTCCAAAATGAGATCGCCGTCGATACTGACCTCACTGGAAACATTGCTGCCCGCCTCGTCCTTGTCCTCCGTAGGCATTAAAGTGGAATCATTAAAGTGGATCACGATCTGATCGCGCGCCTCAAGTGTCTTCTTCTGATCCGCGGTTTGGTTCTGCTGCTGATCATGATGCAGTCGCTCGATGTTTCGTGTGGGAATCGTCATGCCAGCTTCTCCGTGTCTTAGGATCTCCTCCAGATCCTCCTCGTCGGGTATATCCGTGCTGTATTCTGCATCTTCCTCCTCATAGACGTCATAGACGAAGTCCGTGAACGTCTCGTTAGTTACAATTGATGGACGTATTAACTTATCCGCTGAAGTAAGCGCGGAGTCTGGCACACTGGCAGCAATGACCTCCTTTGCGGTCTCGTTCGACGTGACGTTAGATATCTGCGCGATCGCGTGGCTGGTTTCGTTCGGTGTTATTGGCAGATCATTCGCCACGCTTGGCAATTTTGTAGATGGGTTCAGCAAGATCAGCGTGGACGACGTTTCAGTCAAGTTTTCCGGTTTTTCGGTTGTCGGATTATTTTTCATAACATCGCTCGTATTGAGCCTTTTCGAGGCGTTGAATGAAATTTTCGGATCTATCGGGATCTTGTAATCCACCACCTCGGAGAAACTAGTGTCGTTCGTCTTTTCGACGAGATCCGTTACCGGAACCACTGTGTCAACCTTCTGATGAATTTCGCTAACATCGTCGATACTGGAATTTCCAGTAAGAAACGTCGTCTCCTCCTCGTCTAACATCGTATCATTCTTCATCTCGTATTTACTCGCTGTTGCGATCTCGTGCGGTCTCGTCTTCTCTTCGTTATTCGGGGGAGTCTCATTGCGAGGTGACACGACCGGATCGTCCATCGGGAATGTCTTCTCGGGTTCGATATTCGATGAAGATTTAGGATTAGAGGGGATTAGAGGGATATTAAGTTGTAATGGACCTGTCGACTTTTTTTGCTCACTGTTGTTCGCAGCTTCCATCGCGTACTTGGCGTTCAGCCGTTGTAAAAGGAAGTTATGTTGCGCGTTCTCGTTAATGCGGACACTCTTCACGCACCTGCCCATGCTATCCGCGTGATAATTCTCAGGGCAGGCGGGCAATGCGGGCGGTGCGATGAACACGCTTTTGGGTGTTATCCTTCGTAGAAAAGTGGCGGAGTCCATTCCATGTTGAAAGTCATTTTGCGCGTCCACCATGATCCACGCTTGCCAGGTGAAGTCGTCGAGGGAACCAATGTCCTCTGATTTCCTTTTGGCGGTGGGCGCCGACGACGACGATTCATGTACATTAAGGGGTGTCAATTCGCTGTTGCAGATCAATCCGAGAAAAGTCACGAAGATAAGAGACATTCTCCATCGAGAATGCCTTCGCCGTTGATTCAACATCTTCCTCGTGTTCTCGGTGAAGCTTCTTCAAAGAGTGTTTGAGATATTCTCAGAGCTGCTCTATGTATGTTCCTTTGCTTGTCACCTATTCTTCTTTGGAAGCATCGGATGAATCTGCCAACAGATAGAAAGGATGATATTAATTATTATCTGTATATGTAAGTGGGATTTAAGGGGTCGGGCGGAGAAATTAGCGATACGTTTACGTAACGTGACGATGAATTAACTTGAACCGCTAGGGCTTTCACTTAAGTAGCCACTCATCTCCTAGGGAACAATATTAACCCAGTTTCTAATCTTAATAGATGCCACTTAGTTGATGCGTATACCGGACGCAACGTTCCCCGAGGTAATTTAGGACTGGGAGTTTCCTCAGGAGTTTCTCAGAATGTTGCGCATCTGCTTTGAGCGCGTCTCTGAAGTGTCTCTAGAAATATTTCTATCGGTCCGCAAGTCGCATAAATTGACAAATTAGAGCGAATTAAGACAGCGTATCGCGTTTATTACAAAGAATAATGTATAAATATTTATTACAAAAAAGAGAGAAAAAAAAATCGATGCAAAGAGTGTTGAAATAATTTTTCAAACGATTCCAAACAAATCATAATTATAATGATACATCTAAAAAATAATAGTTCATTATTTTTATGAAGTAAAAGTTGCGTATCCTCTTAGGAGCACATAAGAAATCTGGGGATATATTTCTACGTGTTAAATTTGGTGATACACATATGTATGCCACAAGTCAATTGCCGGCTTTATTAATTTAGTCAACCGCCCACGAATGTCACATATTAATGAAAAGCGATTTTTGAACGCGAAGCAATTTTTTCGAAGGATTATATCATGTTTCTAAGAAATCTATCTCCAACTAAAAATTTTGCATAAAAAGCATTTGAAATAGAAAAATGTTTATTGATTTCTGAAATTATATTTATTACTATTTTATATCAGTAAAGGAAAAAAATATAATCATATTAATTTGCATGATGATATTTCTTTCTATATGATTAATAAATCTATAAATATAACTTCAGAATACAGGATTCACCAATTATTCCTATTTGTCAATTATATTTATATTATATCTTTCTTTTGAATCGAGACTCTTGCATCTAAAAAAAATATACTAAATATACTAAAGGTACTAAAGAAAAATTGGTTGCATACAGATTGCATTGTTTCTCGAAAAATAGAATATGTTTTAGCTCGTTACTAAGGATATACCGTTTCGCATATATCCTTAAAAGGCGCGTTGCAAAGTGCGTGCTTCATATGCGTATGCGACTGAATAATATGTTTGCGTGTGTGTGTATGCACAGCGAGGAAAAGTGAATGCACGCCGATCTGTTTTTACCGTTACGCAGGCACGGGATTATGTCTGCTTCGTGAATAAGACGTACAAATATGAGAATCAACTTCCCGATCGTTTATGTGTCGTCGCCTCGTAGAATATATGGGGCCTCTTAAAGGGTTCTTTTGCTTTCTATTTTCAGTAGCAATAACAGCAAAAGCAACAGCGGTAGTTACTTTACGATGTTCCGAGCAAAAGAAGCTGGGAAATATATTGTATATCTCAGTTTATGCCATTAATTTTTATCGGGAACTATTTTAAGACAAATTTGTGTGATTGTTTTTTAAAGAAAAAAAATTAATATTTTTAATTAATAATTATCATGTTATGATGATTGTCTCGGCGCCTGTCAATCAAACAAACGATGTCGCATAAATTTTTGCTGCAAACAGAAATAACTTCATAAAATTTTTTTATGATTCATATTTTTTAATGAAAATCTCATATTTTCTATAAAATTTATATCAGACAGAACAATGTCATGTTATGTTGAATCTTATTTCTTCAAAAAAATTTTTTTTAGTTATTTCATGTTTAATTAGAATGAATATATATATCAAGGCTTCCTTGATTTTTTACAATTACGACAATGCCAATTAATGACATTTGATATGCGCAATTTATTTCCTGTTTATGTTATTAAATAATTCGATTAACGACATAAAAAATTATATGTTTTAATAATTTTTTACAATTAAATTCTTTAAACGCTTAATAAAAGCGCGTATAATGTTTTAATTAATCTTAAATTGATTTTACTTTCGTCGTAATTCGAGTGTCACGTAAGTCTCATATATTTAACATGAAAAATTAATAGTTATAACATGTAATCGAATTTTGGATAGAAAAAATCTAGTATTTTAAATTCAAAATATGTTTCAATGTGCGAGTGCAAAATTTACATAATACATTATAGATTTATTTATAAATTTATTTATAAATTAATATGTATCATAACAAATTTATATAATAAATTACAGATTTATTATAGATTAATATATGTGTATCAATATGTGTGTGTATATATATGTATATAAAACTGTTTCTTAATAGACAAAAAATCAAAGAATTTCTTTTTATACTTCTCTATTTATAATTGATTCATAAATACATACAAATACGAGAATCGTAATTGATTGTATTAACATTCTTGCATAAAATTATATATAGTTCACATATAGATACATGAATATAGTATATTTAGATTAACTATATATATTTCTATTCACTTTAATTAACCAAAAAATATAAATTTGTGTTATATTCAATGTATAAATATCGGAAAATTATTTACTTTTCGTATTGGTGATTTGACTTTTTTTAAATAATATAAACAAATTAACACACGCGAGTAACAAAAAGGCTATAGAAGTTTAAATAATGTTAAACATCATTATGAAAAACGTTATAGAAATATATTTTTCAAATTAGTTCTTAACAAGATAAACGATTGCATTTAATCTAGGCTAATTTCTCTCTCTATCCAAAGAAATACTCATAAATTTTTTCTCTATATCCTTTCTCTATATCCTAAATTATCTTAGGATATATTTATAAATTATTCACTTCCGGAAGGAAAAGAAATTCGTTATTCTACAAATTTATTCCGAAAGCGACTTAAATCTAGTGCTGACATTTGAAGGATTAGACAAAATGCAGATACAAATTAACGCGATGCCGATCAACATGAACTGATTTTTTTCTTCTTTCCTTCTTCAACTCAAACCGATTAATTTATAAACGTGTATTCCGATGCAGATTGTAAAATATAGCTTCCTGCGAGCACAAGTCCGTTAACATTCCAAAAAAGTTCAACGTGTCCCGCGGCTGCTGAAATTGATGCTATGAATAAAACGACGTGTAATGACCGGGGAGATTGAATATCTTTCGCGCGCGCGATCATATTTATCAGCCTTTCCAATCAACGAAAGTCGATGCGTTAACATCGAGGTAAATGTCAGGCCGCGACAGGAAGCGCCGTCGTCTGGCTTTTCCCGTTTTTATACGAGTACGTTTTATATCTCGCCGCTGCCACTCGCGCAATAATTTCGCCTGGCGATGGGAAATGCGATTTTCCACGATATTGACAATCTCAGTTGAATTAACGCCCGGTCCCGGTGATCGTCGATATCGGTGATACGTTGGAGTAGAGCAGCGCGGATTGTGAATACTTGGGATATGAAACATCGATAATCGTTATCGCGAGAGGAGAAAGGACTGTGTATGATTTATGCGAGAGCTATAACTATATAAGTATATATCTACGTGTCTCTTGAGATCGTCGTTGCGATATCGGGACGATCCTTCCTTCGGAATGACCCTATCTCAACACGCAGTGTAAGCACGTGGAAGTGTCTCTATTAAGAGCTGTTAAGGGCGTAAGGGCGCTCGATTAATGTTCACAGTTCCGATCGCGGTAAGATCGCTAAACTAGGATACTTATCCTTTATAGCCTATTTCAGCTATAATTGTTAAATTGGTTATTCAATGTATTCCATGCCAATAAAAGGCATCATAACTCGTTCCCTGCGCCGTGTATGAATATATTAATATGCACAGGATGCATAGTGTTTTTGCAAAATTATTTACAAACTTGAAGAATTGAAATAGAAGATTCAGAAAATAAAAATAAGTAAAATTATTAAAAATATTGGACTCAAAAATATTAAAATTAAACGAATCAATTTTATGGCAATGCGAGTCAAGTGTCGAAAATAATGAAACACGGAATCATTCATTGTTAATATAATTTTAGACGACACGCTTTTAATATAATTGATTCCGATAATCCCTTTGTTATTTATTCAATCATCAAACTTGCACTGAAAATGGCTCAAAAATAGGGTCCAAACATTCGCAAATTTTTTACATTTGTATTTATTGATTTAGACTTATTTGTTTCGTATAATAAATGTGTTATAAGATCGACACTTGACTCGCATTGCCTTTAAAACTGATTCGTTTAATTTTAAAAATAAATAAGTTAATAAAATAAATATAAAAACATAAAATATTGTTTGGAAAAATTTGCCTAAAACTTCTCTTTTTTAAATTTAGTCCTTTTTTATGGTAAGAAAGAAACATGTTTGAGTTGTAGGAAAAAAGAGGAAACAAATATGCTAAATGTTTCCAATGTCGCGAGAATCAAAGAGCTAAGCGAATAAAATTCAAGCTTATTCGCAAAACAAAACGTGCAATGCGCGTATCCGAAAAAGAAAATAAGTAAGTGAAAATATATCACATTTAACACACATTATGTGACGCAAAGAAACGGTACTAATCCAGCTATAAATCGAGAAATTCGGACAGAGCGAGATATAAATATAGTTTAAATTTTTCACTACTTGCCTGATTGGATATGTTCATTGCTCGAGGTCATCGAAAGGGAGTTAACGTTCATGACACTTTATCGTTTCAAACTCGTTATTTTTCAAAAATATGTGTTCCTATAAAGACTATATAATACGAGTATAATGTCTGACTACCGCTCTCACCACTAGCAAGACATCAAATGCCGAGGTGTTTGAGAATTAGATCCGATTATTCTTCGTCGCCAGTCATTTTGACATTTTTTCTCGGTGATTCTTTTCTTATCAAGATGATTGCTTCATCGACTATAGTGCTAATGGGAAATTAATGAGGCTTTATCAATTATTTGAGAAAATATGAATGGAGAAATTATACAGAATGATAGATAAAAATGTAGAGAAAGTGAAATGTACACACATACATTCAAATATAATTATATAATTTATATATA